AGGCGGCGTACAGCAATATATACAATAAAATATAATCCACCATAAAAGCAGTACAAAATTACCAATAAAAGTGAATTATCACAAAAGTCCTAGCAGAGACACAAATAAAACCAGCATCCACCCAAAGAAAACTTTGCTATAGGAAGCTGGAAACACAGTCAAAAAATCCTCTCTTCAAAATTTTGGGAAGTGTGTACGTAAACCTTATGCCACTGATCTCTTACTCATTCTGTTAATACTATGAAGACTTGTTATTCCCATTTTACAGACACTAGCCCTTAGCAAACACAAACTGTGACTGCTCGCTTGCATATATTAAGTAAACACTTGACACTGAAAACATGTAAGTTTTCGGGGCAGCATAGGACCCACCCTGCTATAATTGGAGGGGCCCAAAATGTAAAGGGGAAAAACATAAAGGGAAAGAAAGGCAAGAGGGCATGGGGAGGATGGGGAAGAGGGCCACACTCTTGTCTAAATCTTAAAAATTTGTGTAACATTTGTTATGGAAAGGGGGGGGGAGGAGGCTTCTCCCCAGAATTAAGGGAAGTTATCCTATTTTTTTTTTTTTTTGTATAAATTTTTATTGGGTTTTCAAATTTTATAAAGACAACACACACATAAAAAAGACAAAGACAAAACACGTATAATTTCATATCCTTACTTTCTTATCCCTCTTTCCCTGACCCCCCACCCCCCCTCATACACCCCAATTTCCAGAGTTAGTTCAGCAAGTTTTTATCCCTTCCCTTAACCTAATCTGTTGTTTTTGAACTTAATTCTTTTAACTAAGTCACATTTTACTTATCCCATTCTCTTATTAATATCAAATTTTTTTTTCCCCCTAAGGTCGACCTAATTTCTCATCCACAAATTTCCCCTTTTTTATATTAAAATATAAATCAAAATAACAAAACACAAAAGTCATAAAATTTTCCAACTTCTGCTCTCCCCCTCCCCCCCTACCCCGGTTTCCGTCCCTTCCCAAATAATTATCCACCCATACAGTTCCTAGCCCGGATTCCTCACGTCCGAGGCCTTTAAATCTCTGTCCGTCTCTCTCTGTCGGTTTTGTTGGTAGTCCTTTTTGTTGGACCTCAGGTTTCGAGGGTGATCTGTCACAACCGCATCTCCTTCTCTTGCGTCCAAAGTAGTTAAAAGAACTTGCTGCCAAAGATCTGCCATAGGTCTCCCGTACTCAAACTCAGAAAAGAAGAGGAAGTCCCAATCATATTTCTTTGCTCTTTTCAGATCCATTATTCCAAAAAGTCCAGAGACTTCCTCCTTTGCTTTTCTCATCCTTCTCACCTTTCCCAGATTTGTAATCCAAAAATCTTCTGCTTCATTTTCTGACAACATAGACTTCTGCTTGGCATTTTCTGCCAGTACCTTCTCCCCTCCTTCCTCCTTTTCCATCAATTCCACAGATGTCACTTCTGATTCAGCTGCAGATTTTTCCCCAGTCAAGTCCTTTGTTCCATCAGTAGGGTTGTTTGTTTTAGAGATCAAGGTCGTGAGTTCTTTGTTCATAGCCATACTCTGTTCTTGCAAAATTCCCACGAGAAAAAAGGCTCTTTCAATTTCTGCCAGTAATTTTCCCTCTGCAGCCATTGCAATGTCACTAAGTCCCCCCTAGGGGGATTCCAGTTAAGTTATTTTCCTTTCCAACAATCCGTTACTTTGTTGTTGTTTTTTATTATTACTTTGTTTCCAACCACTTCTAGTAAAATGTAACTCCTTTAGTCCAGAGAGATATTAAGTAATTCAATTCTTAGTTTTGTCCACCCGTTTGACAGCTCCTTTGACAGCTGTCAAACTCCTTATTCTTTTTCGTAGGACTCACACGCAGGACGCTCCCGGGTTCGGGGGGGGGGGTTACACAAATTTTTCTAACGCTCCTCTCTTCTCTCCAGCACAAAAAACTTCTTCTATCAAATTCTTGGAATAGCTTTTATCAAACATCAAAAACACACTGTTCTCTCAACCTTAGTTCTCCGATCCTTGCTTTAGATCGTTTGTAGATAGGGGGGTGCGGACTTCCCTTTAGCACATCCCCCCGGTCGTACCAAATTAAAGGTAGGAATTTTTAAAGTCCGAATTCCCTGTACTCACAGGTTTTTGTTTCCAGTCCAAATTTCGGGAAGAAAGTTAACGCTCTCCGGCCATGGCTCGCGGCTTCGCTCCACTGAAGTAGCGGTCTACTCCCAGCACCACGCCACTCTCCGTACCCTCTCCGTAGCCTTTAAAAAGGCTCTTCGTGGGTCAGGGAGGGCGCTTAAGGTGCCCACTGAGTCACCAAGTCCACAGGCATCCGCGCCTGTGGTTTCTGAGGGTCCCCGTGTCGCCGGCACGGCAAGACCCGTCTTCAGCAGAGCCGATTCCCTCCGGAGCTCGGAGGGAATCCGCCATTAGCCGATCGCGTCAACCCGGAAGTCCTAAGGGAAGTTATCCTAGCCCATTTTCTATCAGCTGAGGACAAGAGTCTCTATGGCGTTCAGAGGAGTCTTTACGGGAAATATAATAGAAACTGCTTCTTTCAAGTTGAATTCAAGTGGGCAAGGCAGGGGATTTTAATGTATGGCTTCTATTTTAACATAAGTGTGCTGCTTTCTGTCCACCGCCCACGCGCTTTACAAGGTACCTTTTAGCACTTGCCAATGTGCTTAATTATCTCGAACAGCCGGGGAACCAAAAAAGAAAAGAAAAAGAAACCTTCCCCTGTTCTGTGTTCCATTCTGGTGTTTTGCCTTATGTGCTCTTTTTCAGGATGCAGGGAGGAAAAGCCTCTCTGAATAATTTATAGGGGCCTAGGCAGAAACAAGCTCCTACTTTTGAATAAAAACGTTGGGTACAAGGAAGGGATTATAACTTTTCCACTGAGATCTATTTGCAGCAGAGGTACTTTGAACAGCTATGTTAAAATGGGACAGTGGGGTTTTGTTTTTTTTGGGTTTTTTGCACAGCAAAGCTACGCTGAAAAGGCTACTCTGCAATACAATTCTAATGGAATAGATCAAAGATACCATTCCTGCTGGCCGAAAGGAGATTCCCAAACTTGCGCCTATAACTTCTGTACCACTATGAGCAATTTACTAACATCAAACTAGACACTGCATTCTTTAGTCCATCATGGCTGGTTTTAATAATTAAGACAAATAAAACAAGACACACACCCCCTCCAATAGACTTGGACTGTGTTGTTGTGGAATGAGGCAGAGAGAGCATGAATACCTTGCCATCCTGGGGTGCCTTCTCCTAAGTTATTACATTTATTTCTTTATATCACAGGCAGTTGGGGTCCCCCCCCCCCAGTTTTGAAAGGTTAGCATTCTAGCCGCCATCATTAAACGAACTACTGTTTCCAGGTCTTCTTCCAACATTATACCTCTAAGATATCCAAACAAAATTACTACTAGATCCCTTGGAAGATAATATCAAAAGTCCTGCCCTCCCCCTTTTTTAATAAGACAGTCTTCCAAAAGATCTGTATTGTAGGATATTCCCGTATCATTGGAAACATATTTGCATTGGGTGTCTTGTATCTTTGTCTTGAATTGTATATTATATATTGGGAGGTTGTGTGATTTTTGGCACCATCCACATGTTTGAAACTATATCAGGTATCACATTTATTAGTGAGAAAATGTAGAGGAAAACCAAGGGAATTTCACTGTTGTGCCCCAATATTTCAGACTCCCCTTCCTCTGTTAATAAATGTGAACACACACACAGCATTTAGAAAGAAAACTTATTACAAAACCTGCAACCACTTGAAGAACTGAAAAAGAAATTTGAAATCAATACTAATTCCCATCCACATGAAGCAGAAGACATGAATAGGAAAGAGGTAAAAATATTGAGTTAAGTTGTACGAAAATCAGATGCAGCGAAATGCCTTATGCAGCAGTTAAATGCCTTATAAGTAATTCATACTGTGAACAAAATCAAAATGAGCGTGTCAGCAGTTCCAGTGTTGTACTGCAATCTGGGAGAACAATCAAAGCTACGCTAACATCGGTGCAGAACCTACAGCCCACAGCCTAATTAGGCTCACCAAGGCAGGCATGATGGTTTGGGCTTAGTCAAGCCACACCCACCCAGGCCCACGCAGAGCAGGGAACAGCCGGGTACATCTGCCCGGGTCTCAGAGGGCTAAGCTGACAGGGGCACCTGGGACTTGCTGCTTTTTTTGTCTGAGTTTATAACTTCATTCTAACAAGACTCCTGCCTGGGCCTCACACAAGCACTGCATGGGCCTGCACCCACCTGCCCAAAATCTGGCAGCATATAGGACATGAGCTTTTGGGCAGATACGACACATGGCTGGCCCAAATGTGGCTTGTGGAGTTTGCTGACCAGCTGATAGGTGTCAACTGCAGAACCCTGCGCTTAGTGTTGCATGGGGCTCTTTGATGCTTGCAGAGAGCTGTGTTCCTGTTGGGTTTTCTAAGCATGGAGCAAAAATGGATCACTTGACATCAGGTGATTGAAAGGGGGACACCCACCCCTCCTGGCTGTCTCACCTCGCCTCTCCTGGGTGCCCTGGCTGACCCTGGGAAAGGCCCCTCTGGGCAAAAGGTCACCATTGACAACTGCAAGTTGTACGAGTCAAACTAGCAACCCCAAGAGAATTCCCCCCTTTACTGCCTAAATGTGGCTGGTGCTGCAACTGTGAGGTGCATGGGTGGGCGGCTGCCAAGGAGCAGCACTGGAAGTGGTTTGTTCCTTATTTATTATTTTTACCAATGTGGTTCTGTCCTCTCTTTCTCTTCTTCCACCGCAGATAGCCTCAAAACAGTTTTGAAACCAATGCCCTAAGGCTCCGCATTAACTGAACTTACGAAACATCATTGTAGACTGCTCAACAAATTTCTAATTATCCAACTGTTTGTATAATTGGGGCGCAATAATAATATTAATCACAGAGCACTTGACGTATGGAAAGTCTTTTCCAGTGTTCAAGTGCTTCGCATGCATTCTGTGGTACAAACAGGACTTACCAATCTCTGCATACTTTTGACATGCGTTGGGCTGATGGATAAGGCCTCTTCATACCAGCGTTTGGCTTCATCAATATTTCCCCGAAGTTCTGCCACTTGACCTCTCATGTACAGAACGTTGTGAGACATTGGAAAGAGGTTAGCAGCTTCCTGAGTACATGCTGTGGCTTCTGCAGGCTTTCCAATTCCTATGTATACTTCAGCTGTAAGGAGGAGGAAGGAGAGAGACGAATGAATGGTCCTCCCTAATTAACAGGGGAGGAAGGGAAAGGAGAATGTTAGCCGCTTTGAGGCTCCTTCGGGTAGTGATAAAGCGGGATATCAAATCCTAACTCTTCTTCTAATACACTCTCCATTGATTGTTTTATGGCTAAGTTCCCCAAGGAAACTACCTCAAGCAAATATTTTCTCTCTCAATTATATATATTCCAATCTTCATTAATTCTCTTGAGGCGCCAGCTTTTGTGAATCCAAGGGGGTGGGAAAAGAACAAAGGGAAACCTGGGCTTAGCTCTGATGTGGGACAATAATGAGGTTGCATGGGTTGTTTCAGGGCTTTTTCTCAGCTGGAACTCGCCAGAAATCAGTTCTGGCACCTCTCAGGTGGGCACCGTTGCCATTAGAAGAGAACAAGGGAGGCGTTCATGGTGAGTTCCAGCACCTCTTTTTCTAGAAAAATAGTACTGGGTTGTTTCCATATGAAAGAAAACAACCTTCAAACCTCTCCCATCTCTATCCATGCTATTTCTATCTCTATGAGTGTCCCCACCCCCATCATTCAGCCTGGACACTTAGGTCCAGCTCCAAGGGCCTTCTGCCGAATCCCTCACTGCGAGGTTACAGGGAACCAGGCAGAGGGGCTTATCGGTAGTGGCGCCCACCCTATGGAACGCCCTCCCATCAGATGTCAAGGAAATAAAACAACTACCTGAATTTTAGAAGACATCTGAAGGCAACCCTGTTGAGGGAGGTTTTTAATGTTTGATGTTTTATCGTGTTTTTAATATTCTGTTGGGAGCCGCCCTCAGTGACTGGGGAAACCCAGCCAGATGGGCGGGGTATAAATAATAAACTATTATTATGTTATTATTATGACCCTTGAACTTTTTTTTAATAAAAAAACAACAACATGGCCCTGGAACAGGAGAATTCAGACAACATGCATGAACTTTGAGACCCTTTAAAAACACAGTGAGTGGGATTCAACTAAACTGTCATGTGTACTGAACAAAGTCCAGTCACACAATGTGACCCCCCCCCCCAAAAAATCCCCTATATCAGCTCCAGGTTGGGGCAAAGAATCAGGCAACTAGTTCCAAATACTCAGGGAAAAGTTGGACTTTTATTTCTAAGAGAGCAACCCCTCTCTCTACGATAGCAACCGCTTTTGAAACCGAGGGACAGTTTCATAAACTGTTAGCAATATGGGATGGGGAAGTGTTCAAAGGCGGGGGTGGGGAATCTGAGGAGCACATGCAAGCCTTTGGGGATTTCTTAAAGTAGCTGTCTGGATCCCAGCCCAGTAAGTAAAGATTATTTTAACCAAAGGTGTGAAGGCATATATTAGCACTTCGATCTGCTGGGAACCAGCAGAGGAAGAATAAAGGAAAATCTGAAAAGTTTGATGAAGCCCTTCCAATAATTGCATAAAAACATCAAGGGCCTCATGAAAGCATTTGATAATTTTAAAGCCAATGTTTAAGTAAATTGCAGCCCAGGCTACAAAACAAAATTCTTTATGATTAGGCTCAGAAGGGCACTCAAGCCTGTCTCCCAATGAGTTATTAATGATGAGGGACTGCATGCAATTTGTTTCCACTGACACTTTCAGGCATTTTCTCTCCCTCTCTCAAATTTTGCTTGATATCATTCATACTGCTGTGAACTACCTCAGTTTTCACAGAACCAGTAAAGATGCTGATTTATAAATTCCCTATATAGCTCCCCTTTCCTGCTCACTTGTACTTTAATAACCAAACAACATCTACATGCACACACACACACACACACACACAAATACACAATTGTGCTTCCCCCTACCCATCGCTGTAAAATAATGTGGTTGATATATAAAAAACTGCTCCCATACAAAGGTTTTTAAATAAGCGCTATTTACTATCATCAGCATGATAGAAATAAGTGAAAAAGTGACAGCCAGGATCCCAAGGGCCATTCATGATGTACCACATGGACATTTACTTAACATACTTTCCACTGCAGTAACAGTGCCATACAACAGAACAACACAACACCATACTGTACTTGTCAGGCCTATCTTTCTGATGACAAACCACCTCTTTCTTTCTCTCCCACCCGCCCACCAACCCCAAATATTATGGGACCATCCAAGTGGCGCTGCATACAATGCAAACAGTGGGGTTCTGGCATTAAAGTTGGAACCCCTTCTCATCAAGGTGTGGAAGAGAATTATTCCGGCAGCCTTTGACTGGTGTATTTTATCTTCCTTGTTTAATGTTTTCTCTTTGCATTTTATTGTGCTTTATTTTATTTGCATTTCATTGCTTTTGGCCACCTTGAGCACCATTTGAAACATGTCAACCAACCAAAGTACTTCATCTGTTTAAAGGCCACTGTCTCAGGCATGAAATAAGCCTCAAGGCTTTCTGAGGCTTACATAAAAATAAAAATAAAATAAAATATATGAAGGACTGTTGTTCCAAAAGAAAAGCTCCCCAAACACACAAGCATGCGTGTGCTACTATGTCATCTTTTTCTTCTCAGAACTATTGGGCATACCCAACAACCTCCACTAGTTGGAAGAAGTCAGCACAGAAAAGGCATTAGACAAGTTTGATCTTACAGAGGACTAAAGAACAAAACAAAAAGTGAGTCCTTAAGCTGCCGTAAGACTCTTGTAACTTTTTGGTTGGTTCTAACAAAGGTATTGATCAACTATGGATTTATGAGTTACCTTTGTGTTTTTTTTAAACCTAAACACAATCATTCTAATTCAAGGGGGAACAAACAGAATTTGGAATATTTAAATATGGGCAATGTGCAAATAATACACCTCCCACACTACTGCTCCAATTAAAAAGGAGCTTTCAAGTTGAAAAGTATGGTGGAAGACCCAAACACGTATCATCCACATTGTGACTGTTTTGCACTATGTCTGGAATTAGTAGGCAAGCATCTAATTTATTTATTTTGCCTGATAAAACATAATTAACAACAAGATGTTTTACAACATAACAAAGTTTAAACCAATCAAACTGTTTTGTAACTCAGTACCATAAATTGCTCCCATTTATCTGTCCCCTTTATATAGCATAAGAGATCACACCATACATCTTTGTATTTCCAACCTCAAGGCTCAGTTCAGATCTGAGGTCAAGTACATTCTTTTCTTCCCTGCAAGATTCTTCCTTTCTTTATTTATCATTTTAGGAAGCAGACAAAGGCTTCTGTCCTAACCTTAAGTACCTGGGAGCACGCCCCACTGAACTCAATGTGATTCATTTCTGATTAATATGCGTAGGATCACAATATACAGTTGCAAACCTATATGCCCTTACTGGGAAACTGGTAGCTGAGATTTCCTATTGTTTTTATCATCCTACTACTACCCCAACTAAATATTTTGGAACTGTATTTGTCTGCCTGCCTGTTTTCTATGCATTTTGGACACTTCTTAATGAAATTTTTGCATGGTGGTTTCTGAGATCAAGAAGCAGGTATGGGCATCATTGGGTGCCATTTTCAATCAAGATGGCAGGCCGAACTTTTCAACACCGCACTGAGTTTTTGCTTTCTCAGCATTCTGGAGCAACGCTGGGTACAAGGCTGCAAGTTTCTAATCTCTGTACCCTACTAATGCACTCAGGACAGTGTACATGTCCTGCCCCCCCCCCCGCCCATACTCAGAACAACCTTATGATGAAGATTAGAGCAAGATGGGTTTTATGAATGAGTGAGTAACTAGCATTCTAGTTCCTGTATTTGCAGACAACATCTCATTTGGGAAAATAATCTGTGGATCTTATTCCTCTAACTTGCTGTCTAAGACAATACAGCGTAGTTAACAAATACATCATATGGGTCTTCGGCTGATTCGTTTTGGGGCAAGGTGATTTTACTTCTGACCTGTATTTCAAAAACAGCATCGTTTCTTGAAATAGGTACATTCTAGTCCCCGATAATAGCTTGCCACCTCACTTGTGGGTTGAACTGCCTTAAACGTTATTCCATAACTCTGTAATATCGATATCTCAATATACCTCACGTATTTGAGCTTTAACACCAGAAGGTTCACCCGACCTCTTTTACTCTATTAAAGCACATTTACATGAGTTTGTTATTGACACCTCAAGTCAGAAGAGCATGAGGCTCTTAATCTCAGGGACTTGGGTTCAAGCCCCATGTTGGGCAAGAAGATTCCTTCATTGCAGGAGGTTGGACTAGATGACCCTCGTGGTCCCAACTCTACAATTTTATTATTCTACATAAAAAATGTATTTCAGATTCTCCACCCCCCTCCCGAAATTAGTTTTAGCTTGCTATTCTCTTTTGCAGTCTGAAAAGCATATAATTGCAGATGGCATTTTATCTTTTTGCCGGAAATTCATAGTTTGAGCTGCCCAGATTAAAATTCACCGAAACAACGTCACTCTTAATTTTCAATGAGGCACTTTAAATTTCCATGACTTAACACAACCTGAGCAGCGGATGGGAAGGGGGCGGCGGGGGTGGGGTGGGGAACTCAACCTCCTGACAAGGTTGTTAAATACTAAATGCCAGCCTCCCCTAGACTACTGTTTCATAAATTAAGCATACAATGTTCTTGTCCTGAAATGTAACGAAATGCCACATTCCGAATAAGTGTCCTTAAAAGCTGTGCTTTTAGCTGACATACAATGAAAACATTCTGCCCCGCTGAAGGCAATGACTTCAGATTCCTGTAGCTAATGAGCAGGAAAAAAGAAAACAGCAGCTGTGCCCTATTACCTGCATGAAGCCAGATTTGAGCCAGAGTCATCCAAGGATGCAGAGGACCTTGCTTCGGAGCACTGCTCTGCAAAGACGAGGCAACTTCAGAGAGCGCCTGCTCCACTCTAGAGGCTGCTATCGACGTCGCATGGATCGAACCTGCGGAAATAACAGACATAGCTTGCATCAGTAGAAAGAAAGAGAAAGCCTGGGCTTCAGCTGCTTGCTGTTCTTCATTTTAACTCTGTGCATGTAAAGGTGTTGCGAAACCTTAAAACATCTACGTTTGCCAGGCTCCCCCTTCCCCGATTATAAGGACGTTAGTGTTAGTGAACCTGCATTAAAAGCCTATTACATTACTAGCGGAAATGACAGATGAGATTGGAGCAGCCACTCGTGAAACACAAAGCTTTCGACGACCGACAGCAGGTATACAAGTTCCACGCACACACATACAAGCTGTAAGACTCAAAGAGGTTTGGGGATGATGCTTATATGATGTAACTCTTACTACTTACTCTTCACTGCTAGTTATCACTGAACACCCCACCTCCCTGGAGGGGTAATTAGAATACTATTTTAAGGATAATAATAGAGAGACTAAAATAACCTAAGAAATTCAGAATGATCTCAACGTTTCCCTGAACAGAAACCAATTAAGCTGCAAAGACTATAAAGTTCACTTAATCACCAATATTAGCAGCTGGGGAAGTGAACAGAATGAGCACTTCGTCCAAAATGGAGTTGATAAATCTAAGCAGGGAGGGGGGAATCTAACCAACAGATTATTCTTGATATTTTCCTATATGTTACTGTTTATTGCTTTTAGCCAATTTCTATTTGATATGCATGTACAAATAAACAAGCAACTCCTGCTATAATACTAGATATCTTCACATATCAGTTCTGCTGTAGTTCCTAAACATGTGAGACACTCACTGCATCTCTCTAACGTAGTACCAATTAAAAATGACCTTCCAAGACTTAAATGCACGCTTGACAAAAGCGGAGGACACCGAAGAATATAAACGAAGAGTGAAGCATCTGAAATGTTTGCAAGGAGAAGCAGAGAGACGAATGCCTTCTTTGTCAAGCTACAAATAAATTGGCACACTCATCTAATCACCTTCTAATATTTCCTTGACGGCAATTTTGGAACAGAGCTGCTAAAATGTACCCCAAATAATGTCAGGTGTTTACACTGTAACTTCTTGTTCACACATAAAGTTATCGGTGTCTTAAGTCTGGCAAGAGCTCCTGGGGCTTTAAGACCTGTGTGACAAGCAGAACTTAATCGACTGAAACTTTCCCTGGCATGCAGAAAGGGTAAATGTCATCTGCTGAACTGCTTGCCCCACAGAAGCTCCAAAAGGAATAGCTTTAAAAGAGAGCTAGACAAATCAATGCAGGAGAGGGCTGTTGTTAGATCTCTGGCCACAATGGCTACATTCTGCCTCTGTTGTCAGGAGTCAGTACAATCGTACCTTGGTTCTCAAACTTAATCCGTTCCGGGAGTCTGTTCGACTCCCAAAACGGTTTGAAAACCAAGGTGCGGCTTCCAGTTGGCTGCAGGAGCATCCTGCACTCAATTGGAAGCCGCGGAAGCTTCCAAAAAACGTTCGCAAACCGGAACACTCACTTCTGGGTTTGCAGCGTTCGGGAGCCAAAATGTGCAAGTACCAAGGCGTTTGAGAACCAAGGCACGACTGTATGCCTCTGAATACCAATTGCTGGAAATCCCAGGTGGGGAGATTGCACTCAAATCTTGCTTATGGGCTTCCCATGCTGCATCAAATGGGCCTTTGGTGTTATCCAAGAGAGCTCTTTTATTTTCTAATGACTGGAAATGCCATGGGCACCACGAATTCAAAATATTACATAAGTAATGACTTCTCATTATTGAAAGGGGGACCGCTATGAGAGGACATTCATACGTTTTGGCACATATAAATGTGGTGAAGACTAACCAGGTCTTCCCCCCAAACCAGCTTTGATACCTGATTTAGTACATATATTATCCCTGGCATCTAGGATTCTGGCCCCTATAAAGAAGCATTCAAGTCAAGTGAGCCCCAACTGCAATGAACCAACATAAGCCTGATATGGGCTTAGGGTCTCAGTGAAAATGAGGCCTATGTGGGAGATGGTAGGGATAAGGCAAACATCTAATCTCCAAACACACATCGATCACAACAACTGTTCCAATACCTCCCATTTATGTTTTTCTAGTCAATCGCCAACTGGAGATTTTCTGCTATCAACTATGGCTTGCTTGTTTAACTAGAACACTCTTTTCATGGGCAGGGCTTAACTTTCTGAAAATAGCAAAAATCCAATATTCAGCTGTGGCTTCAGCCACCAAATTTGCTGCCTCACTTCTTATTACCCTGCATAGCTATTTGTGTACCACTTCACCTTATACCCGTTCCAGGAGTCATTATAAACTTAACAAAAGTAACTGAGCTACGATTTCATTCACTAGGATGAACCAGTGCTTTGTTTAAACGGCTTAATTTTATAGTGCTTTATTTCAACAAGGGACACCTGCCACTATTTGAACCACCAACAAAGGAAGCCTGTCATTGTGACAAGATGATTATTAAATTTTCCAGCATTTTTTTGCTAGTGTTTACTTTGAGAAGGCCTTTTGTTTCTGAACAGCTGATAAATTGGCTGACTCCGGCACAAGGGGAAAAAAACCAAAAGAAGACAATTCTGTATTGCTTTTCTACTTGAATGTTTATGGGATGGGGGGAATCCCCTTCTTAATATGATGAGCATGTTGCTACTTCCCCTGTGTTTATCTTTAGGATTGCCAAGTGAATGATGAAATGGTAAATACTTGACATAATGCAAATCCTTCAGAGGCTCACCCCTCTCCTTGCTGCAAAATGGAAAGTTGCTTTTCAATCAAATTTCATGAGAACAATGTCTTAATTAAAGGAAAGGAAATGAGCAAAATCATGCAAGGTGAAAATACAACCCGATTTCACATGCACACACAAAAAAAGCAGGTGCCAGAGCATGTAAGAGTGCCAAACTGTGGTACATGCAGAGATCTGTATGCCGGTGCGAGTAAAACTCTCTCTAGATGAAGAGACAGTACATTCTGTAGGACCAAATAAATCATGTATGTGTATGTCTAATCTAGGGGTAGCCAAGTTTGTGCCCTTCAGCTGCTTGGACTATAAAGCCCATTAGACCAGTCAGCATCATCAATGGTCTGGGCTGATAGGTGTTATAGTCCACAATAACTGGAGGTAATACCACACTGGCTGTCCCTGGGCTAATCCCACAAGACGGTGGGCAACACCCAATGATAGTCATACTGAGAGTAAGAACATTGGCATCAATAGTGTTCACTGATTTCAATGGATCTAGTCTGAATATGATGAACATTGTATATCACCCTTATTAGCAACTGGAATAACTCGTCCCCTACCTCCAATATGTTAAAAGGCTCGTCGACGTTTTCCAAAATGGATGGTGTACATTAACGATGAGGAGCCTGGGGCTTAAATCAACAAACAAAACTTTCTTTGTTCCATAGGGTTGGTACATGAAACAAGTATCATGCGCTTTTTGCTAATTGATCGTACACTGCCATCAACATCATTTAGAATGGTGCCAAGACCACATAGATGGCTAATAAATAATAATACAGTATTAGGCGTAAGAATGCCAACAACGTATCTTAAATAAATAAATAAATAAAGTGCTTATTTTTTTTAGAATAGGTTAACCTTGCTTTATTTTCTTTTAAAATCTCTTTCCGCCCCTTATTCCTTCCAGCCAAGAGGCCAGAAAATGAACTAACTGATCTGGAGAAATCATAAATATGGTGGATTACGGACTTATGCAATGGATTTTATAAAGTCAGCCCCTGCTTTCAAGGACCTTTATTTGCAGCCCTCCAGAAATTAATACTGCCTCTTTAATAACAGAACTCTAGTCCTAGCTGAGGGCATTCAGATCTCATAGGATTGCAGCCTCAGGGGTGACTTGAATGGCTAAGGAGCAGCAGCCTCGCTTTGCACAATGTCAAACCTCCATGACGAATGGACACACATTTACATTCTGTGGTGGAGGGAAGGTGTTATTACTAAGCCTTTAGAAGTTTAAAAATAGACCTGTATAGTAAATACTACTTACAAACTGAAAAAAGGGAGAAAAAACCATGAAAGTAAGCATCTGGAGGGTTGCCTTTAAACAACAGATCAAACCACAAATTAAAATCACGAAGGATAACAGCTATAAAACAGAACTGCACAAAAAAAGCAAAATACACTTCTGATAACCTTCAAACTGTAAGCTCGTTTTCTTGTTTTTCCAAAGGACAGTGAACATTTCGAAATAAGGAGTTTAAAGTCATGATGAATTTCCGGTAAGAATTTGGAGAAAGTTCTTGTTAAATAAATCCCTTTCATGTCATGTTAACAATCAAATTGAATATAGAAAAACAACAGAGTATACATATTGAGAGCAAGAAAGCTACAGAGGGTTTGGACCAATTCTATTCATATGGATTCAATGGGGGAATGAAAGTGCATAAACAACTGCTCTGAGGTCAAATAACTGAGGCTCCTACAAAACTGCCACATATTTCCCCCCGCCCTCATAAGATATTGCAGCTCTCGCTGGAGGTAGGAAATTCACAGCCTGCTTTTGTGCTTTCATTTCTGCAGCATCTCATGATTGGTCCTACATCCCTATGGAAAGCTAAATAAGTTCGCGGCTTCACCAACAACAATTTAATGCTATGTGGGCTATGCTCTGTAGAGGCTCTGTTTTAGAAAAGGATATTGTCTATCACACTTCCCCAGCTGTTAGCTAGCATCCAAAGTAATAACTAGTCCTGAATTTTTAAAGTGGTTTTTTTTTGGGGGGGGGGAATAAATCCCCAAAAGTTCATATCAGCACCCATAAGTGCAGACAGCACGATTCCAACCACTGCAAAATGAATTCTGACACAGATCCATCAGAGACCAGTAGACGAAGACCAAACCACAAACTACACCTCACAGCAATTTTCTGGGCAGCACCATTTCAGACAGCAAAGACCTTTTTTCGTATGCTCCCTCATGAAGAAACCCCACCTCACTTCAGGTAGTAAACACACCAAAACAAAAATCTTTAGCACAGCATCCTTTCAGATGCACTCCTTGACTGCCTGGCCTGCAGCCCACAGTAGCAGAGCCCAGAATTGTATCACCTTAGCTACGGCCTCACTTTCTGTAAGGTGCAGTAGGGCTCTTAGGGAGGGGTGATATTTTTTTAAATGTCCCATTGAAGAACCAGGATCACAGAAAAGCCTCGACAAAACAAGTGGGAGCAGAATTAATACCAATATGAAAGCACAAGTGCTATCCTTTCAAACAGCATCTTGAATAGGCGCCAACTACATTGTGACCTGATTAATTTGCACTCCTTTGCTACTTATTTTCCAGCACCTGTCATCTAATTCAGTGCCAGAGACAACGATTTACTCACTCTACTCCTCCGAAACGAACAGATTACGCCAATTTACGATAGCAAAAAAAAAAAAAAAAAGCAACCCAACCACCACAGTGCAAAAGAAATCTTTCCTGTCTTGAAGTTAGCTTCTAGGAATGAAAATTGTTGCCAATTATATTTAATTCTGTCAAATAAAGGTCCTAACATTTCAAAATGAGTTAATTGCATGGATGAGAACAAAATCCAGTAAAAAATAAAAAACCTATAGTACAAAAAGAGAAGTAGGAGCCGAGTTCCTACCACTCAAGAATCAGTATAGTACAGTGGTACCTCGGGTTAAGTACTTAATTCGTTCCGGAGGTCCGTTCTTAACTTGAAACTGTTCTTAACCTGAATCACCACTTTAGCTAATGGGGCCTCCTACTGCTGCCGCACCGCCAGAGCATGATTTCTGTTCTCATCCTGAAGCAAAGTTCTTAACCTGAGGTAATATTTCTGGGTTAATGGAGTCTGTAACCTGAAGCGTATGTAACCCGAGGTACCACTGTACTGACAAATTTGGGCACATACTTATAATACTAACAGCGTGTTTTCCGAGTGCTCCATCACAGATGATGTGGAGGCACAGGAATGTGCACCAAGAGTTGCCATGTCCTACAAGGGGCCAGGTTTTCTCCAGCTTGAGGCTTCAGATCCAGAGCTGTGAGGTGGGTTGGGGAGTTAAAATGGCAACCCCATTGCTTCTTCTTTCTTCTCCTGGCTCACAGCCAAGACATGGAAATCTTCCACATCCTGGTACACCCCCAGCGTTAATCCTCGCTCCACAGCACTGCATCGACAATGGGTGCCAATCCTTGCGCAACAGACTCTTGGAACAGCTGTGCCACGGACCCATCGCAATATTGCTAAAATGCCTTATGGCAGCACTTACTCAGTGCTCTCAGGGAGGCAATGGAGCCCCCTGGTGGTCCCTCGATGTAACATTTCATGAGCCTTCCAAGGGTATTGGAGTGAGGAGTTAGGAGACTGATTTAAGAGCATACCCACTTGAAACCATCACTGCTTACTTGAAGAAACATGGAGTATTGCAGCCTAAAACAGTTTCAAATGGCCTAATGGTTTTTTTAAAAAAAAATCATCATCATCATCATCATCATCATCTAATTCAAACAGGTAGGTTGCACTAATACCAAATACCTTGATGTTCAACAACATTTCAGGGCAATGGATGCTTAGCAGTTATGGAGATTATCAGAAGCACAAACAGAGCAAACTAGCACGCCTATCAGAAAGAGGAAATCAGTTTACAGAGTGGCGGTTCGCAGGGCCCAGGAACGAGGTCACAGTATGGATTGGTTGCATAGGGCCAGACAAAGGTATCGGATTTGGGATGAGGGTGAGGAGATTGAGGAGACATAAACAGGTGGAGAGGAGATTCTGTTCTTGAGAGAGGTGAAGATGTGGAGGAATCAGAAGCTAAAAAGTGAAAGAGAAAAATATAAAGAAAATGCCAGGAATAGGTTTTGAATGGCTTAATGGATGCCATGAAAAGAAAAGAATAATCCTAATAATGTATAGCTCATTTAACCACCACTAAAAAGGAAGCAACAGTTTACCACACAAAATATATTTTCCTACAAGCACTGCAAAAAGGTCACTTTTCTTGCATGAAAATTTTTTAAATGTTTACTGAGATTTAGTAAAACCAGTTTCAATCAAGTCAAGTTATTTTGGAAAGGAAAACTGTTATAATGGAAACATTTGTAAGGCAAACAATTTGGCACGTCCAATAGGAATACAGATGGCAAAAATTATTTTCTGAAACGAGAGTAGCCAAGGTGGTGTCTTGCAGATGCTTCGGACTCCAACTCCCATCAGCCCCACCTGGTGTGGCAATTCTCAGGGAGGAATGGTGTCGTAGTCCAACATTTGCAGAGCACCATGTTGCCCACTGTGTCCTAAAACCTGAGTGCCTGAAGCTGCCAAATGCTTGTCCAAGTTAGAAATAAAACACCAACTGTCTAGGTAAGTGATACTGAACTTCATTTAAAAAATAAATCAATCCTTGAACGACAGGAGACAGAAGGTCCGCTTCATCGCCCTGTTCCATGAAAGGAAGGAGATCCTGGTGTCATTTCGCTGGCAAAGCATCCTGGTTCATGTGCTCAGGTGCGACTCGAGAATTTGTTGCTCACACCCTCCCTTGACAATATCAAAGGCAATGTGTGCATTTATTTTTACTCAATCCAGTTCTTCCTCCCGAGAATTTACAGAGGCATATAAAGGATTATCCCCTTTTATGTAAATAAGCCAGGCAAGGCCTCAAAATAAAGAGTTGCTTCAAAGTAACTCCAAAATCTTCCCTATAATTCAAATTCTGTAGTGGAAATAGACTCCCTCTTGCTCCAGACAAGCCATTTTGCTTGAAAAGGAGGCGGGAAAACTTGTCAGAGCTGGTAGAAAATGAGTGGGTGGAGACAGCCTGGCTATGCTGGGCTGTGCACCACTGAAAACAGCTCTGCCGGATAACGTTTTGCAGATTGCAGTCACAGTTGATTGTTTTAAAGAAGAGATCCATGAAACAACTGGTAAATTGTCTATCAGCTCTGATCTAGTTACAAATGCTCATACTTCACTTTTTTCTTTTGGCTCTTCATTAAAACAAAAAACAAAAACAAAAAAATCCAGTACTGATGAAGCAGCAGGAGAAGTGGCTGTTTTGCGGTTCATGCATGGATGGAGCAAGCCGTCAAGGATCAACTTTTACATTTGAACCTCCGTTTTGGGAGGTCCCTGAAGCCTCAATGAAGACCAGAAGAAAAGTGCGTAAAGAATGGCTAGCTTGCTAAAAGAAGCACAAGCAGGAGTTTGTTCCAGGTGGGTAGCTGGCCAGAGCCACTATCAAAGCAGCCTTTGACACATAAGCATAGGTAGGTTGAAAACAAATCAAACTTAATCTTCAGTTCTGTCCTAAAACCAGATTAGCAGCCCATAGTCTAAAAAAAAAAAAGTCTGACTAAGGTCCATCGATGCTTGTAGTCTAAACTTGCCTCTAAACTATGATCGGGCTTTGTTGTACCTAGATCCAGAAAAGTACTTTTGACTCTGAAAATGGGTGAAGGGCATGGTTATAAGGTGGGTGGGAGGAATCTAGTAAAGGTAAAGGGACCCCATTAGGTCCAGTCGTGACCGACTCTGGGGTTGCGGCGCTCATCTCGCTTTATTGGCCGAGGGAGCCAGCGTACAGCTTCTGGGTCATGTGGCCAGCATGACTAAGCCGCTTCTGGCAAACCAGAGCAGCGCACGGAAACGCTGTTTACCTTCCCGCCAGAGCGGTACCTATTTATGTACTTGCACTCTGACATGCTTTCAAACTGCTAGGTTGGCAGGAGCAGGGACCGAGCAACGGGAGCTCACTCTGTCGCGGGGATTCGAACCGCCGACCTTCTGATCGGCAAGTCCTAGGCTCTGTGGTTTAACCCACAGCACCACCCGCGTCCCCTGGGAGGAATCTAGACCAGTTTAAAAGATTGCAAAGAAAAAAGTGAAGGCCATACTAACTTTTAACGTATGGTCTACTATCCTCTGGCCTGGGGGAACACAGACATTTACCTTATACAGTCAGACCACTGGTCCATCTAGTGCAGTATTGTCTCTACACTAACTGGCTGCAGTTCTTCAGCATTTCGGGCAGGGTTATCTTCCACTCCTACCTCTAAATGCCAGATAAGGACATGTTTGCTCACAGCAAATTCAGAGCCCACCCTCTCCCCTTGGGGAGGGGCTGTAACTCTGTTGTATGCTGAAGGTCCAGTTCTGACCAGTCCCTGTAGCTCTTTCATCTTATACTGTGCAATACCTCCCTCTACCAACCTTGCCATTTTCCCAGTCCTAGCTTCCAAACTTGCCTGACATTTGGACATTGGACATCGAATGGGGGGGAATGTGCAAAGGTCCATAACTGAACGTAAAATCATTGCTTTAACATCAGAGAGGTCCAGAGCGGCAAGAGATGGGCCCAGTTAGTGTGGCCTGATTCCACCACTGTGTATAGACAGGTACTATATTGCCTGCAAAGAGCTTGTGGAATTTTAGAACTGAAGCCTGCCTAAATAGCAACTCATGTAAATAACAACACAAAACATTTCAACTCCGGTGTGAAGACTGGGAAATGCACCTCATTGCCAATACCCAATTGGAAAGAAAAAGAAAATAGGAGACAGATAGTAGATTGGGTATCTTCATTTAGAACACTAGAAATTTTCTCTTTAATATGGAAACTTTTATCTGTTATGGCAACACTGTATGGCTTGGGAAGATCTAAAGTGGTTTTATATGCTAATGAAAACAAACAGAAATAAGAAAGAGACTGCACAGAGATATAGTAAAGACCAATATGGATAAACTATGCAATTTAATTTTGCCCTGTTTTCAATGATAGGCTAATGACTTGGCAGGTTGAAATATCTATATTTTTAGTTAAATGTGTCCACATTACATTATGTGGCCATCCCTAAACTGAAGTATGCTTTCAATGAGCCAGTAAACTAAAAATAAACGAATCAGAAGTCATGCGGGAAATCTACTTATGATGAGTGGAACTGCTTACATTACTTTATATTGTAAAAAATATTAAAACTTTGTTCTTCAATATTGTTTACATAATGCAGCAAAAGCATCTTTAGGTGTGTAGAAGAGCTTACAGATGAAAAACAAAAACAAAATAGGGTTCTGCCTGAACTTAAAGACTTCATGAACTAATGTAGCTGGTTCCATCATGAGTGTACTTGTGGGAGAGATATGATTTTCAAACATCTGCTCCCCACATTCACCCTTTTTATATCATACACTGAAATATACACCTAAAAACAAATGTGTGAAGACGTCTGTACCATCCAGTTCTGTGTTTACTTGATACTATGCCCCAAGGAATTCTGTGCTTTTGGCTCTACATGTGAGGCTGCACTACAAATCCCATCATCCATGGCCATGCTGGTCTGGGCTGATAGGGATTGGAATTAGTCACCCCTGCAATAGGAATCAGTCTTCAGTAACAATGCAGAGGATTGTAGCCCAAGGCGCAAAGTTTGGATTATGAACTTTTGGCCCTTAGTATACATGGATATTTATGTTAAGCATTTAACACAGGAGAGGGCTAACACACAACTCAAGAGTATGTGCCTGAACTTTTATTGCATATGTATAAATTTAATATGTGTGTGTGTGTGTGTGTGTCTGTAATATGAAACTAAACATAAAATAAATAAATATACCGCAGCAAATTTCTATCTTGCCTCAATTGCTTTGATAGGTTTTAGATTAAGGCATCTAGCAGACAACACATATAGTTTCTGACACTTTATTGTTGTAGACAGTAATCCTCACCTGTTTCAGGGTCACTGAAGTCTGGCAAAGTAATTGTACTAAGTTGTCGCCTGTCGGCAATGGCTCTGTCTAACAAACTGCTGCCCCGTCCAGAATCGCTGTAGGAAACAATGCAAGGCATTTGTCATTTAAGGCTTTAAAAGTGACTATTTAGCTTACTGTACAGCTCTTCATATACAGAGTTCAGTGCTATGTGTACTTTATCTACCAACGGGATAGACAGCCCATATATCATATAAAAAACACTGTATTTTATGCTGATTAAAGTCTTTTCACACTATGGTTCAGATCACTTCAAAATACTTGTTTAATTGTGAGTGGATGTCTGCCCTACTGAGTCACTTGTGGCATGAAAATGATTGGCTCCACTTGGCAGATCTGAGAGACCAAGCTTAAAAAAAGAAATCTTTCCATGAATGACTTCCACAGAATGAGATGATGGATACCCTCCTCCAAGGGGTTTACAATCTAAAAACAGACACAAGGGAAACGACAGAGGGACGAGAGGGAAATCAAGGCAGGGATGAATGCCGGAAGAAAATGCAATGACTACACATATTTATGGAACGTCTTCCACTTTATGAATGTGAATACCGCCAGTGTCAGCTCAGGAAAAGGGAATTATTTCCCTCTTCTTTTGGAAATGCAGTCGTACCTTGGCTCTCAAACGCCTTTGCTCCCAAACAAATCTGCTCCCGAAGGATCGAAACCCAGAAGTGAGCGTTCCAGTTTTTGAACGTTCTTTGGGAAGCCAAATGTCCAACGCGGGTTCCGTGCCTTCCGATTGGCGGCAGGAGCTTCCTGCAGCCAATCAGAAGCCACACTTTGGTTTTCGAATGTTTTGGAAGTCGAACGGACTTCCGGAATGGATTCTGTTCGACTTCCAAGGTATGACTGTAAAGTATAGTGACAAAATGGTGAGGAATGATCATATGGATGATGTTATAATTGCGCCAGTTAAAAGCAAATACTATCCGTCCCTTTCTATAGGGGTGCAATGTTGCTTTAGTGGCATCAACACTGCTGTCATCCCTAGTGATCTGGTTTTTAAAGTGGTAGAAATCCTCATTTCTTCACATCTATCCTAAGCTGGAAAATGGCTTCCCGGTTTTGAATCTGAATAAACTCAAAATTTCCTTTCGGTGAAATGTCTAAATCCAATTTTTAAGCAATGTGTTCTATATACAGAAAGAAACTATTTCCTTTCTTTGTCTGGCTGCTGTTAAAATGCTGCAAAAAAACAAAAAAACTCTGTAAGACACCAACACAGCTAATTCCTTGTGCAATGATGCAATTACAGTAATCCACAGGAAACAGAAGGGACCTTCCTTAGTCCATTTTATCAACCAATAACTATTACATCAGTCAGCACACATTTCCTGGAAACAGCTCTATTAATTACTTCCTTGATACATGAACAATGCTGTGCCAAACGTCAGTGAGGAAGAAAATAAAGCTGAAGGTAAATAACCTCTTGTGGAGGCTCGGCTGGCTAGCACAGGTCTCCGTTGCTTCCAGCTGGGCAGCCCAGGCACGAGCATTAATGGGTGAGAAACATGAGCTGTTGTAGTCCATAAGGATGGTTTATTTGCTATGCCCAACTCAGACACAGTCCATTATAAGTGTATGTAGTCAGTAGTAATGATTCGGTTGGTGTACCAACCACCGCACAACTGGTTCTGAATCTTGACTGACCTGGCAGAGAAGGTGCAATAACTGCATATTGAGACAGACTACTTGTTGCCACTGCCACCATATAACCCTGAGCCATCCCAATTTTCATTAAGCACAGGTACGTAAAAGCATTTCAGCACTGAAAGTGGAGATGAGCGCCACACCCCAAAGTCAAATTTGACTGACTTAACCATCCAGGGGTCCTTTACTGGTGATTATTAATTCATGTGATGCAGGAAAGTTCTCTTCTTATATATTCCACAGCCAGGCCCAGTATATTTGAAGGAGCGTCTCCACCCCCACTGTTCTGCCCGGATGCTGAGGTCCAGCGCTGAGGGTCTTCTGGCAGTTCCCTCAGTGCGAGAAGCAAAGCTACAGGGAACCAGGCAGCGGGCATTCTCGGTAGTGGCGCCCGCCCTGTGGAATGCCCTCCCATCAGATGTCAAAGACTACCTGACATTTAGAAGACATCTGAAGGCAGCCCTGTTCAGGGAAGTTTTTAATGTGTGACATTTTAATGTATTTTTAATCCTTGTTGGAAGCTGCCCAGAGTGGCTGGGGAAACCCAGCCAGATGGGCGGGGTACAAATAATAAATTGTTGTTGTTGTTGTTAATTGTGTTTTACTTTTTAATAACTGAGTTCTTAGATTTATTTTTTTTAAGTCATCAATTCTAAACTCAAGGCAGAAAAAGCAATGTTACAACTGCACCCTAACTGACTTAGTAAGAAGCAAGGAAACTGAAACAACTAACAAATGATGTCATTTGAAAATTATATACAGTACTTTCCACTGGAATGGTATAACTTCTCTGGTTCATTGCAGGTCAAAATGCACACTGCTCTCCAGGATAATCACTACTAAAAAATATTTTTAGCCAAGAGTGCATCAAGCTCATCAGAAAAGCACTGGCCAAACATGATTAGATTCTGTGCCGACATCAAGCAAGCTGCAGAAGTTTGAAGGTTTAAACATATTACTGCAATTGTGTGCACATAGATATCATGCTGAAATTAGGTGTAAAAGGAAACTATCACCACACTGCTCAAATCAGCACTCTGGAAACTCAGATAAGCAGAACATTTTGCAAATACAGAATGGGGAAATAGCTTCAAAATGTGTTTAAGATGAAAAAAGGCTGCTTCTGAGTCTACTGATTCTATCAGCAACAGCAACAACTATAATCCACTTTTTACTTAATCAAAATACAATTCGTAGACTTAGATATGACTGAAACCAACTTTTAAAATTTAGAGACGAGCAATTGATTTAACTATGTATTTCCCAGATACCTACTGAATGAGGACAGGGTATTTTATTTTGGGGAATATTATCAATTTAAAGCACAATCCCACACGTATGTTCTCTGAATTAAAAGTTGTGCACAGAAATGTGAAATTACTGGGGGAAATATTATTTACATAGTAGTACTGCATTATTATTATTATTATTATTATTATTATTACTACTACTACTACTATCATCATCATCATTAACAACATTTTTAGTATTCTTATTAAAAACAGGCCCTGCCCACACTACTGCTGTGGTCATAGGCAGATGTTATAATACCTTGAATCACTCATAATAGGATGGGTGGCAGGCACAGAATAAGATGCCCTTCACACTTGGTTCATTGCTGTATCTGGTAACTGTTAACCAGTCATAAAATGAACCCTGGGATGCCCCTAAACCTTGCTTTAGAGCTCTGATTAAACTTAATACACTTAATACATCATTTAGCAGCACCCCTAGCTTCATTCAGCCTCAGTAAGACACACTGATAAGTTGGGTGAGGATGTATAGGATGTTGCAGCCCTCTCTGGTGATGACACCATCTGCACAGCCATTCTACTTCCTGTGTTTTCTTCTTCTCTCTACCTGCTGGAGGGTCATGGCGCAAACTGCACACAAACTACAGAATTTGCAGCCACAAAACGTGGTGATGGCCACCAACTTTGATGGCTTTAAAAGGAGACTAGGCATAGGGGTACCAATGGCTAGTGGTCATGATGGCTATATATTACCCTCAGGATCAGAGGCAATATGTTTCTGATCATCAGTTGTAAAGGAACTGGGAGCAGGCTGTTGCTCCAATGTTCTTCCTGTGAACTTCCCCAAAGCGCCTGACTGACCACTGTGAGATACAGGATGTTGGACTTGATAGGCCTTTGATCTGATCCAGAAGGACTCTTCTAACATTCATTAGGCTTAATAAACTTTTATGACTTGCCACCCCACAAGGAAATGTAGTGGTAATGAAGGGAGCAACCAGGTCTACAGAGCCACAGCCTTGTAATCACATGTACCAATGACAGCATAGGTCCTTCCTAAACATTTTAGGAAAGCTGATGTATGAAACATCACATATGCCAAATCTCAAATGGGGGAAAAAACCCAATTACCAGTGAGTTTGTCTTATAATAAGTGCATAATCCATAACTGGTAGGTTATGCTTTCCCCTCTGCCTCATTTGTCTGCTTTGTGTGCTTAAATGAATCAACATTTTGAAGGGGTGGAGGGGAAGCCATAAAATCCACAGCCTTTATGCAGAACATAAATGTTTGTCTCATCTTGGATCACACATTTGAAGTCTGACAGTGAATGACATCTGCAAGACTGCTGAAGTCGAGCTGGGCGCATATGCAAGCATTTACTCCGAGTCAGTTCTCACCTGGCATAAAGAGAGCGCCACATGAAGGTTGTTAACTCACAGCGGGGCCACAGCTATTACATGCTGGCTTTTACAGAATTTGAAAAGAGAAATGTGATATGCTGCATGGGGGACCTTGCTGATCTGATAGCATCATACAGGATGGAATATTACTCTGATATGCCTTGCTGTGGCATAACGTCATTGTATCTTTTCATTTACTTGACAGGAATGTAGCAGTAGAAAATTGTAAAGTACTACCAGGAAAAAAGCAGCGTTTCTACTCTCAAGATTCTGATTTTGCTTTGCAAAGCAGAATGAATCCTCTCTTTTTACTGAAAGCAAATCAGAATTTCTGCTACTTGTACTGTGCTGCAACCACTCTAGAGTTTCACTCACTCAAGATTTTCATGTCTTCTTGGAGCAGATTGAGCATGCAGGGGGACGGGGAAAAGGGAAGGGGGAAATCAAAGAAAGCCGTTGCCCTACAATCTCAACTAATGGAAGCCTCTGCCGAATCAAAGAGCCCTCTGTCAGCAGAATGCCACAACTGGATACAACCCAAACTTCATTTTTGTTTACTATCTTGAAGGTCACTCAAGTGGAACAGTTCGGATTCTTTCCAGTTAAATAAAGAAATCAAGCCAGTCCAATGCACATACGCCACACCCATAACTAACATGGGTAAGCAAAAATATAGCCACACAAACCTCGCATGAAATATAAACTGGAGTATGATACTCGCCCCCCTCCCCCCCAACAAGCTATGAGCAGAATTTACCTAACCAGTCAGCAAAATCCCAGCACAAGGACTTCCCATTGTGCAACAGGGCTGCCCTGCCTTTTCTTCCTCCTGTTCCCCCATTGGTGGGGGGGGGAGGGGGAGAGAATACCCAGAACACAAAACGGTGGGAGGATTGTTCCATCTGGCAAACTGCAACGCTTGCACAAACAGAATGACTGGAAGAGGGTGATGTTGAATTCCAACCTTTATTTACATGCAAAGGAATCACTCCGACCCCCTGCACACACAAACAGAATGCGTTCCATGTTGTTCTGTATTGACCTTACCTGGGGTTAGTGAGATTGTAACAGGATTTCCAGATCTGCAACATGTGTTTACAAGTGAGGAGTGCCTCATCTGGGCCCCGGCAGAGTGATTCCAATTTGACTTTTGAAAACAGTAATCTGAGAAGGAAGAAGAAATCAAACTGTAATTCAACAATAAAGGACGCTGAAAACATGAATGCAGCCCTGATGGACAGAGCAAAGGCTATCTACTCCATCATCCCACTTCCTCCAGTGTCCATCCCAGATGCCTGTGGAAAGCAGACAAGCAGCCTTGGTTCACGCCAAGTGATGCTAAGACTTAACAAGCCTAGTGGATCCTTTTTTTTGTGTGAACTTCAGTGCTTTCACAATTACTCTAGGTTACCCACATGAAGGAGTTTCTTTGCAGGCAAGTCAATATGAAAAGGGTTCCCCAAAGATAAAAGGTTTTAGATCACGGTTCTAGAGCACAGAGACAGACGTTCTCTTTGAAAACAGCAAACAAGCAGCATTTTTCTTCTTCAAAAAGTAGCTCATGAAAGTGGACTCAAAAACCAAGCCAACATCTACACTCTAACTTTGAAAGAACTCTAGTCAGCAGCCAAAACTAACCGATTTTCTATTAAGCTTTATGGCAACAAAAAAGGAACCATTACAATGCTGAAGAAATTATACTTGAATAATGCAACGGTTTATTCTGCTTACCAGTTTGTTTTGCTAAAGGTTGCTTGCCTCTGAATTATATTGGAAGCGATTAGGAGGAGCGAAAACTAACTGTTATAGGGAAAGCAAGTGTATTAGAGGTGTACCGAATGAGAAATGTGTTAAGTCAACTAATCTGTCAATTCCATCCACCAAAATACAACATTTTGAACTGGTTTGTAGGCGTAATTCTAAAAAAGGCAAGCAGCCCAGAAACACGAGGAGGGGATTTGTGAGGGTTTTGCAAGTTTTGCTTGGAAGTGCACAATTGCTTTCAGCAATGGACAAGAAAGTGCCTGTGGGATTGTGTCCAGTCAGCTGGTCTGATCAAGTTTTAATTATGCCGTGGTAAAATGTTTTCAGAATTTCACAGCTGTTTTCAAACACTGAGAGAGATTCTGCACTTGACCGTTGCATCACTCTTTTGAGTAGATTAAAATAGTGGTCCAGTCATGTACCACCCCTTAACCAAAACCCTCTCTATTAGAGGGCATCAATTCTACAGACTGTAGGCTCCAACGAAAACACCAATTTGTGTATCAAAAGTATGTATCAGCCTCCAGACGGCTGTTTGCAGAATACAGACTTAGCTAAAAAATATAGAAGTTACTCATCCAGATCTAGGACTTAACATATTATATCCCACCTTTCATATGAGAACATAAAAATGTAATAAAATAATACACTCAAACAATAAAAGCAGAATAATAAAAAGCAGAAGATAAAACAATCAACATTCAGTTTCATAAGTTCACGATGCAGCAGACTTTTGACAAACAATGGCACTAATTGTGGATAGTCAACAGCTTGTGAATTCAGTCGTAACAGCAAATCACTGTTACATTTGCAACATTGGCAGCCCCTTGCAAACCATAGTTTGCAAGCTGGCATAATACCTAATGACAGTTTTGCTTTATAAACCATGGTTTGGCATAATGGCTGACTGCACTTGCAGTTTGGGACTGATCCTGTAAGTCCCTTCTCTGTTGTTTCAACAAGCAACAAACAGTATAGAAACTGGCATGGTCCCCACATAGATTGCAGGTGTAGAAATGATGATTTTTTATTTTTATTTAAAAAAAAAAACTTCTCAAAAGAAGCACTCTGAGAGACAAGGGCTATACTATTTTCTAATTTATTTGACATTATTTATGTGGTACCACATAATGATGACTTATTCTCTGGCTGGCTCACAAAATGAAACAGCTTTAAAAACAATTATAATACAGCATTAAACAACTCCAAACTAGGATCAAAACAAAGTAAAAAAGCAAAGAAGTGTGTCCTTTCACGTGTGTACTATCATTACAACGCCTTATGCTGGATTAAAGATTCTTACTACAAGTCAGTATTCCTATAGTTCAACAGTAGGATGGAATATTTACTGGGCTGGTTTTTGGTAATGGCTATGAGCAGGCAGAAACTCTCAGCACAAAAGTCAGATAAACAATTGGAACCCAACCAGAATGACTTACATCTTTAGCATATGCGAAGAATCTGACCCTGTTTTTTTGAGAAATTTAATACTTGTAGAAGGAATTTCAGGCACAACTAAAAACCAGTTAATCTTAATGGCCCTATTTCAAAACAGTTATCTGCTTACACGAATAAGGAAAGGAGTAATATCAATGAGAACCAACAGTGATGCCATGTAAATGTGCCCCTGCTCTGCGGTAATAGCTTTAGTGAGAAATCTTCAGTGTCCTAAAAAATATTTGAAAGCTATGATGGAAAGCAAATCATTACCCATTCTTTTTAACAACTATTCCTTTGCTTCTTCATAGAGACTTGGAGCAATAAAAACTGAAGTAAATAAATGTATTAAGGGTCTTTTTAAACAACACAAGCAACATCTGACAGATGTCTACTTGAAGCAGAGTTTGTAGTTTGATATTTGTCCACCAGGAGACCATATTTTTCTGATGTTCATTAGTAATGATGACCATATTTTCTGATAGTCATTAGTAATGAAAGAAGAAAAAATAATAATACAAGTTTAACCATTAGAGTGGTTTATTTTCCAATCTCAAAGCATCAAGCTGTTTCCCTTCTCTCTACCAATCTCTAGAGATGCTGCCACAGCCAAATGATATAGTGACTTTTTAAACCCAAGAATCGCATATGGCCACTAAATAACATGCAGTCCTATACTATGAAGAGGTTCAATGGTGTAAGGAGAAACAACAGATTGCAGTTGTCAGGTCTGAGCCCAGAGTCAAATCTGAGCCGGAGGCCAGCAGAGAAGGAGAATGAGCAGATTTGGGCTTTGAAAGCTAAGAATGTTTTGGAGTCTTGGCTATCTCACATTGGAGATCTGATGCTGCCGTTGGGAGCGTTTATGCTGTGCTCCCATGTATGTTCAACCTGAATATCTGTAAATAAACCCAAATCTTATAAACTGCCATAGCCCATCATTAGCCAGTTCCCCACAAAAAAAAGCAAGCTTATGTAAGTACTGCACCCTGATCCAGCAGGGCTCTTATGTTCTTATACTGGGGTTTCCTGGAGCTCTGCCTGTCATGAAATTCAGCCCTCAGAAGCAGAAACACAGATTTACACTTGGGGGGGGGGTTCAATATTTACATTTATTTTAATAGTATTACACTACCACCAGGTAGAAATATAACACTTATTCCTAAGTACATGCATTTTTCTGATAATCATTACAACACCCCTATAAGGCAGGCCAATACTACTACACACAGCAGATTACAGGGGTAGGGAATAAAGGTGGAAGACAGAGGCTTGCTTAAAGCCACGAAATGAGCTCAAAACTGAGTTAATATTTGAACCAGGAACTTCTGACTCACAGATCATGTTCATAACCACTCTGATACACTACTTGTTTTTACAGAATGATAAGAACCAGTGACATTTTAAGCACATTGATGTGCACACGTCTGCTGAATGAGTGCTATTTGCCACTCAGCTGGTTTGTGATGTGGCTCTTTATTCTCATTTATTTATCATGATACATTGAGAAAAGCAGAAAGATAATCCACTCTATGGAACCCATCAACTTTGCAAAGGGAGGACATGACATTTCTTTCAAAAAAAAAAAAAGGAGAGGACAAGAGCTTGTCGTTTTCATTTTGTGCATCATGTAAAGTCTGTGAATATTACTTTGCTGCAAAAGCTAACCAATACAACGAAAAATAAGAATTGAGGAACCAGAATATCACATTGCTATTCACCAAGTTTGAAAGCTATAGCCTTCTGCAACATGGAAAAAGGGAGAAACGCAATGCACAAAATTTGCAAGGCCAAAAATGGCTCAGTCATTTCAAGGGTTTAAATTTTGTCTCATACTAAGCATGCATATGCATAGAAACTACCAAAAAACCACAAAAAACCCTACTCACATAAAGTTCTCTGGGTATTCGCTCAAGGCCATGTCAATGATATTCAGAGCATCGTGATAGTGTTTCTGAGCTGACAGCAAGAGGGCAAGGAGATGCAGAGAGTTAGCATCGTCTCCTTGAAGCTGAAGAGCTTGACGAACATATCCTAAAGCTTCTGGTATCTATTTGAAAGAAAAGTTGAAATGGGTTATTCTTATCACATACAGTATAATTCCCCTGCTTTTCGAGATTAGGAAGAAATGAGAATGGAAAGTGCCTCCACCAAGGAAATATTCACTGCTAGGGGGAAAACACAGACAGACAGACAGACAGACAGACAGACAGACACACACACACACACACACACACAACTGTTCACTAAAGTGTCAAGAGGCACTGATGATCTTTTCATTGTCAGAGGCACTGGCAATGAAAAGTAGCCAAAGTATGTGACTCCTATTAGCTTCCTAAAATAAACTTTAACATTTTCCCTTTGCACTCAAAACGCAAAGCAACTTGGAACAAGCTTTGGTGTTTCAGGCATCGGGATTTTTGCAACTTAACAGATTTTCTTCTGACTAAACAAAATTCAGCTTTGTCGCATTTTATGTAACAAATTAAAACATCAAATACTCTTCAAGAAACAAGCATAATTATACAGGGGGACACCATTTTGGCTGGTGTTGATAGTCATCCAAAAATTTGTCCTCAGAACAAACCTCTGCTGTCCAAAAGGAGTAGTGTGGTTTTGTTTCTGATGAAAATGGAGTGGTTCTAACTACACCACATGACTGGGGATGAGTGAGGTCTCAAGAAAAACACTGCTGGAAACATCAGTGGTGCCCCTTGCTTCAGTACTACCACCACTGTAACTATGGAACATACATCAGGCTTTAATACAGAGGTTTTGCGCAAAACCTCTTTAGCACTCATGCGTAAGACCTCAGTTATTTAAAGGAGCACAGATACAGAAACACCTGGACACATATCCAGAATGGAATAAAATAATGGTGGGGGAAGGTGAGACAAGAAAAAAATCCCACCCATGCAAAAATGCCAAGCTTTAGACACTGGTATGGACAGCAAGAGACAGAGCAGCCATGAATATCAATGGCTGAAAAATGAGAATGTGTGGAAGGTAACATGACAGATGCACACTCAGAAAAAATCTGATATGAATGACCCATTTGCAATAGAAGGCCCCCATCTGGAAGCACCCTACAACTCTCTCAAGAGAATGAGAGGGAATTTCCTTAAAATAGAAAGGCAGCAAGGGACTGGATTTCATGTTGGGATGGGGCTTGCGGGACAGAGAAGAAGACTGAGTAAAAATATCGAAGCCTTTGTGCTTCTGGACTCTGAAGGCTAGATGCATCCCAGAGATATCTCCAGTTCTTCTTAAACATCTCAGCATAAGCGCCTTGTTTTCAAGGTACGAAGGACCTGAAGCTGTTCTTTGCACTTCTTGGTGGACGAAGAAAACGTTCATTCCACTTCTTAGAAACAGGAAGATCAAGAATAAATATGAACGTACAGATGATCATTAACTAATACAGCTATTATTTATACTTCCCTAATTATCCCTCTGTAGGGTTTTTTTTTGCTGACCCCCCTCTGCTGAAAAATTTTTCTGCTGAAAAATATGGAAAAAACCCAGTAACGTGACAATTTCAGAACTCACCTGTCGGGATATAGCAAACTGTAAAGCTAGATAAAATGCTGCCAGGTGATCAGTTGGAGACAAGATGTGAGCCCTGAAAAATAGTAAATGTATTTAGACCATCAGGTCACTTTAAATGTCCAGATTTACCTTTGTATTTGTCAATTTATGTTGCTGATAACTGATCTACCAGTGGAATTTTGTTCCTGAGCAGGAAGCTAACTCTACTCCTCAGCCTTCCTTGCATCCCCATCTTAAACCATAACATTACAGCCATTAGCCTAATTATTAACAATACAGTTCATGTGAGGATCTCTGCTTTTATTTATTCCATCGTTTTGCATGGGGTGGGTGTTAAAAACAAAAAAGGAGCAAATTGACAGGATGTAAGGCTGGAGAGGCAAAGGTGAACTAGAAGAAAGAGAGTCCTCATATTTCTCATGACTCTCCACTGGGTCTTCTACCACAGCTTTGCAAAGTAAGTCTCTAGTTCAGAGTGGGGAATCTGTGGCCTGCAGATGTTGGAATATTTGAATACATGCATAAATGCAAAATCAAATATTTGGAACACCTGGGGAAGATGGGAGATGAAGGCACTTTCACACATTTTCCAGGGACCGTATTTCAAGGTTTCCATTGTCAAGTGCTCACAAGCAAAATATGCAGTGAAGTAATAATATTCTTGAAGTAGGAAGAATAGCTTCTGCTCTGAGGTTAAGGGACAGGGGACCTTTAACATTTTATTCTATTTTAAAGAAGTGAATTAAAAAAACTGATAAATAGGCAGCTCATTGAATTAATAATGGGATACAGAGATTTTATCTTGTAGGTTACTGTTTCAAAAATCCAGTTAAAGCTAGGACTGACTTAAAGTTGTTACCATCTGGCAGCTGCCCACTGATCTATATGACACCCATCAATTTCAGACCTCTGTAAATAGCCCAGAAATAATCCAGACTTAATACTGCTTGCACAAATGCCTGCTATGGTACAAGAGATGACAGAGGTGATGCCATCTGTAGCAAGAAAGTGTATATGATAGCTAAATCCATATTTTCCACTGCTGGAGGGTCATGAATAGAGTCAGAAAGGAAGTTCTCCAGAAGCCTTCTAACTCAGAACATTTTTTTTCATTAAAAAGCATGTTCACCCTGTCCTGTAGCAAACATTACAGCCTAGTCCTTATGCCTTAATTTCAGCTGTGCTTTACTAAACAATTAAAACATCCGAAAGAACAATTAAAAGAATTAGATCAGGAAGTTCAAGTTCTATCAGGTGTGGGGCCTCTATTTACATAAAAATGTAAATTTACTTATTTATTAAGGGCACCAAGCAGTCAATCACTATCTTGCTTGAGGTACAAATTAAATTTAGAGACGGCTCACAATCATGTTACTATCGAATGGATCTGCCCTAATTCTCTGCTCATGCAACTATTCTGCCTGTGTACATAGTTAAGGAGCTTGAAGTTATGATTGAAAATAATACGTCTCTAGGAAGCTAATAGTCTCTAGGAAGCTAATAGAGAACCAATAACACTTAAGTTATTAAAACACAACTTGATTGCAGAAATATACTATTTTCATCCTTCTGCTTTATGAGAATTCCTGAGCCACATTACAAGTCATGGTGAAGACATTGCTCATAACCTCTTAGAAGAATGAACAATAAATACTTTAAACCAATCTAATAAAACAACATCAATATCATATACAGTATATTCTGTCAATTTTGGGAATGCTATTCAGAGCTACATTTTCTTCTTCTGGAACAAAATGTGTATTCAGACAAAGAGTCATTCTTTAAACAGATGTTGCGCAAACATTATTCTCTACTAGCTGATAACAAAAATATCTTTAATAATGAAATCAGAGGAAATCCAGTCTGATTCCAAAGGATTTGCCAGCACTACTTGATGAAGCAAATGTTAACGCAATATGTTCTGTACTCATGCACGCAGACTCCCAGAGGTAAAATCCGCATTACATAATCATTTATAAATATCTCTTTTAAAAAATACACATAAGGTTTTTTCATTATCTACAGCTGAATGAAAAGATTAACACCCACTCACCTTTGAAATGCAAGAAGAGCCTTTCGCTGCAGGACCTCTTGTATCCCTCGCAAAGAAGCTAAAAACAGGATTTAATTAGTCATATTAAGCAGAGGCTTCAGACCAAGCATTTTTTTAAAATAAAAAAAATGGACATACAATGAATCCTTTTGACTGTTTGACATATTTCTAAATGCTCTATGTTGTTGACACTTTACCCTTATAAACTGATATACTTACCATCTGTAGCTTGTAAGCTGTAAGTCAGTCCCAGGGCTAAGAAACCTTTCGCTTTGAATTCTGATGTTTTGTCCCCCATATCAACCACCATTCTGGCAAACCGTTCTGCTTCTTCTAACTAAAAACAAAAGCACAGATTTATACGAGACTAGTTAATAGACAGAACCGTGTTCACTCCCAATGGTCACTATCTATTTCAAATGGGGTCTGCTTAAATGTTAGATTAATTGGACTGCCATCCTCAGTGATGAACGGGTAGGCACAAGTATAAAAGGTAAAGGGACCCCTGACCATTAGGTCCAGTCGTGGCCGACTCTGGGGTTGTGGCACTCATCTCGCTTTATTGGCCAAGGGAGCCAGCGTACAGCTTCTGGGTCATGTGGCCAGCATGACTAAGCTGCTTCTGGCGAACCAGAGCAGCGCACGGAAATGCCGTTTACCTTCCCGCCAGAGCGGTACCTATTTATCTACTTGCACTTTGACGTGCTTTCAAACTGCTAGGTTGGCAGGAGCAGGGACCGAGCAATGGGAGCTCACGCTGCAGCGGGGATTCGAACCGCCGACCTTCTGATCGGCAAGTCCAAGGCTCTGTGGTTTAACCCACAGTGCCACCCACGTCCCTATTAGGCACAAGTATAGAATAGGGTATTTATAGAAGGCTGCCAGAGTGTTTTTCTGTCCCAACTTTATCAATCAGTTTTGGTCCAGAATCTCCAAGTTGGAAATGCTTGCATCCACCTTAATGGGGAGGTGGGTCAGAGTATGCATCATGTAAAAGTGGCCTTTAAGAAAGAAAATCTAGCTGACTATGCACAGAGGGATGGGGTCCTACCTTGTAAACAATAAACCAACTATGAAACAATTTTGAAAACTGCTACTTTTTTTGGAGATTATTCTCATATGGTTGGTTAATTGTGGATGATCTGTAACAGTGCGCTTGGTGTGGCATACATTTTTTTTTAACTGATACACTTTTATTAATCTTTTGAGCAATCAGATGAATTTTTAAAGAATCACAACCTTTGCCTGGGCAACACATAATGATAGGGTTATCTAATCCAACCAACATGCTGCTTCCCAACTTGCGCACCCCAGTTCTTGAGAGTATTCATGTATTCCAAAGAGTCGCACATGCACCATAATTGCAAGTCAATTTACAGCTTTTATCAACATATATATTTTAGCATTCTCCAATGCTACCTGCAATTAGCAACCTGCTTCCAATCTGAACCAAGTTTACCCATCTTGACACTCAGCTCAGGGTGCTCAAAAATTCTAAAATTATTGTGGCAGTGGTTGGGGATCACAACACTCTTTTGAAAGTATATTCTTTTCAATCTGATATATTCTTGGAATTTTGATATTTTGACCTGGCAGAAGGAATCACATTTCCGTTGAATATAAATCATGCTGGATCAAAAGCAGCAAAGCAACGGCATGTGTGCATATTTCTTTAAATACCCATTTTTCTTGACTCAAGAGAACTAATAAACAACTTACCCAATGAAGGGATCCCATACATAATTTGGCAGCAAGAAGTGGGATTGTGGCATCGTCCGGTTTCAACCGTATACACTCTTTCAAGACCTTCACAGCTCGAGCAGACTGTACAAAAACATGTCTCGGGATAAGACAACCAGGGTAGTGGAATATAGTAAGAATTTTGCATTTTGCCATTTAAGCCCCTTCCAAGCTGTAACAAAAGAATTCTAAACAAATTTCAAATAAAAGGCATTAGTTTAATTCCATGATAGGATCAATACCCACAAATCTGATTGTGAGTATCTTTCTTTTTAGAGAATGGAACAGTTATTGCCTCCTGTGCAACACAGCCAGGCTATCAAACATGGTGGGTCACAGGCTACATGTCTAATTTCCAAGCCAGAAAGTTGTATTTAAGAGATAGAGGAACACTGCCACACTGGATTAAAATAAAATATTCTGGGGTTTTTTAAATAAAGGTAAAGGTAAAGGTACGCCTGCCCGTACGGGCCAGTCTTGACAGACTCTAGGGTTGTGCACCCATCTCACTTAAGAGGCCGGGGGCCAGCGCTGTCCGGAGACACTTCCGGGTCACATGGCCAGCGTGACGAAGCTGCTCTGGCGAGCCAGCAGCAGCGCAGCACACGGAAACGCCGTTTACCTTCCCGCTAGTAAGCGGTCCCTATTTATCCCCGAGGGTGCAGGCGCTGGGACCGAGCAACGGGAGCGCACCCCGCCGCGGGGATTTGAACCGCCGACCTTTCGATCGGCAAGCCCTAGGCGCTGAGGCTTTTACCCACAGCGCCACCCACGTCCCTTTTTTAAAATATTATTTAATAATATTACCAAATATTAGCAAGAATATTAGCAAGAACTACCACCAAATACCTCCCCTTTATGGCTGTTTTCCCCCCAGCACAACTTATGTTCCATTTAGAATGTTTTTAGAATGTCGGACTATTTTCATTGTTGTTAGCCGCTCTGAGCTGGGGAGGGCGGGATATAAATAAAATTTATTATTTATTATTTTTCTCCCATTTATGAGTGAAGAGGCTGCTCTAAAGAAAAGGGAATGGAGGGGAGGGAATAGTTCAAAATAGTTCAAAACCAGGGAACCAACGAATGCCATTTCATATTTCTATCCATCTAGTTATCAACCTTTTTTCTCAATTAAAAAAAATAGGGCAGAATTTCTGAATAATACATTGGACAGAGACAGTGACTGAAAACACACCTCCTGCAGGGATTAATTTTAACAGATTATTGCTAAAAAGTTTCAAGTCACTTGAAATAAAAAAATAAAAATTGAATTCAACCTCTTTCAGCAGAATGCTAAGCTTAACAGTGAGCATATAAAAGTGTTTGCCATACTGAAATTATATTCAGTCTAGCGCAAAGACAGTAAACGTGACTTAAAGTTCTTTGGTGTTAAATGGAGTTAAAGCTACAATCCTGCACCCAAGTACAACCCCCTAAAACACCACTGATTTAGCATGTGCGGGATTGCAGCCCACGTTATAAGCAGCAGACCTCAATAAAACAAAATCTGCAGAGACCTACTTTTCCTGCTGCCATCAAGGACAGTGCAAACTGATACCAAAGATGGAATTCTTCAAATGCAAATTTCATTGCTCTTTCCAAGCACTAAAACAAGAAGAAACAACACCCATTTTTAGTTAAAGTGATAGCGTGCATCTTTCCAGCAGTAGCCTGGAAATAAATAAAAGTTATAAGGCACTTGGCTTTTTGCAAGTGCTATATAAATGAGCAACAATTAAATAAACCTCTCAATAAAATAAAATTGCAATAAAAGTAATATTGCCGAATGCAAAAAACTAAGGGCTACTTTTACATTTTTATGACTCATGAAGTGCACATCGCTGCATTAACCCAAAGAAGGCAAATTTACTACAATTGTAACTTGGGATTTCCTTTTTTTCACGTTTTCTGCTAACCTATTTTTTTCTCCATAGCACAATATGAACCCATCTCTCAGGTCTCCTTCCACAAGGTATTGGGCTTTCTTTACATACCAAAGAAATAACTGAATAACTTCAAGCCATGGCTTAATATTCTGGCTTGTTTGTAAACCATAGGTTTCTAGGGTTGCACATAACGGTTCAGCCACTTGTGTGCTGGAAGGAACAAACCAGAAGGGTGTCTTCATGTGGATGCACATAAGCCATGAAGGAAGTTTTGTACATGGCTAGATCACTGCTTTTTCTTTCTGTGGGTTCTACTTTCTCAGTGCACAGAGATGAAATCTTAGCCAATCGCTAAAAATGGAAAGCGTAATGCTGGTGGTCAACAAAAGAGGTTTAAAGACTGCCTCAAGGCAAATCTAAAAAAATGTAGTATAAACACTGACAACTGGGAAACACTGGCCTGCGAGCGCTCCAGTTCGAGAACAGCCTTTACCAAAGGCTTTGAAGACACTTGAACTCAGGACGCAAGGGAGAAACGTGCTAGGAGGAAGGCACGCTTGGCAAATCCACACACTGATCACTCCCCAGAAACCAATGACCCCACTGTGGAAGGATGTGTGGATCCAGAATTGGCCTCCACAGTCACTTATGGACCCATTGTTAAAACCGTGTTTATGGAAGACAATCTTACTCGGCACTCCCCAAAAGCTGTACAGTGGTAAAAAAGGTAAAGGTAAAGGTACCCCTGCCCGTACGGGCCAGTCTTGACAGACTCTAGGGTTGTGCGCCCATCTCACTTAAGAGGCCGAGGCCAGCGCTGTCCGGAGACACTTTCCGGGTCACGTGGCCAGCGTGACAAAGCTGCTCTGGCGAGCCGGCACCAGGGCAGCACACGGAAACGCCGTTTACCTTCCCGCCAGTAAGCGGTCCCTATTTATCTACTTGCACCCGGGGTGCTTTCGAACTGCTAGGTTGGCAGGCGCTGGGACCGAGCAGCGGAGCGCACCCCACCGCGGGGATTCGAACTGCCGACCTTTCGATCGGCAAGCCCTAGGCGCTGAGGCTTTTACCCACAGCGCCACCCGCGTCCCTGCTGTACAGTGGTACCCTCGGGTTAAGTACTTAATTCGTTCCGGAGGTCCGTTCTTAACCTGAAACTGTACTTAACCTGAAGTACCACTTTAGCTAATGGGGGCCTCCTGCTGCTGCCACACCGCTGGAGCCCGATTTCTGTTCTTATCCTGAAGCAAATTTCTTAACCTGAAGCACTATTTCTGGGTTAGTGGAGTCTGTAACCTGAAGCGTCTGTAACCTGAGGTACCACTGTATGTGCAACTTAGCTTCTCTTTATCAAAGAATGCAAATCCTCCCTTCTTTTGAAAATTTCACATTTAAAGTACAGTAGTACCTTCAGTTACAAATGCCTCAGGTTACAAACGCTTCAGGTTACAAACTCTGCTAACCTGGAAGAGTTACCACAAGTTGAGAACTTTGCCCCGGGATGAGAACGGAAATTGTGCGCCGGCAGCGCAGCGGCAGCAAGAGGCCCCATTAGTGAAAGCACGCCTCTAGTTACGAACAGTTTCAGGTTAAGAACGGACCTCCGGAATGAATTAACTTCGTAACTAGAGGTACCACTGTAAACCCAAACTTAATTTTCCCAAGTGGAACATATTGTTCATAGCATTGGGGGGGATCCTCTCTCGTGTCTCTTCTTCCCTCCCTCTCTTTCCCCTTTAACTCCTAGCATATTCCTTAAGCCACTTCATAAAAACTCTTCATGCTGAGATTGATGCAGCCAGGGGGGGCGGGAGGAGCCTCTCTCAAACACTTTAGGTCACAAAGTGCACAGCTTCTGAAATCTCTGATTTATTCCAGTTCAAAAGCTCTACTGATCAAGACAACGGAATCAATAGAACACAGATCAGGAGGACAAAGCACAAGCTGGCTTTATCTGTGTCCGTAAAAAGAGTAAGGTAAAAGGAAAAAGTCAAGGGAAGTGTAACAAGAAAGTTCCAAAGTATGTTCAAGGTTACAGATACGACCTTTCAAAGCAACAGTGCATGATCCAAATGGGGAAAGTGAGAAATGTAGGTCATCTCTTTGCAAAAAGGAAACCAGCTACTGTAACCACCATGGTGATCTCCTGGCAAGTATACTCTGAATATTTTCATGCAAAGTTTTGCTTGAGTTGCTCAGTTCCTCACAGCTGCACGCATCAGTCCAAGTTCTGCATCTACTTGCTGTGAACCATTGATTTGTTTTTAAATGGCAAGATTAAAGTATTTCCCCCTCGCAAGTATTTTCCCTATATTGTTTTTCACAATACAGTGGTACCTCGGGTTACATACGCTTCAGGTTACATACGCTTCAGGTTACAGACTCTGCTAACCCAGAAATAGTGCTTCGGGTTAAGCACTTTGCTTCAGGATAAGAACAGAAATCGTGCTCCGGCGGCATGGCAGCAGCAGGAGGCCCCATTAGCTAAAGTGGTGCTTCAGGTTAAGAACAGTTTCAGGTTAAGAACGGAACTCTGGAACGAATTAAGTACTTAACCCGAGGTACCACTGTATAGAACTTAAAGTTAAAATATTTGATTCACCAACACTCAGCCATAATAACAAAACAACAACAACAACAAAAGCCAAGCTAAAGTAGTGAACTGGGACCATTCAAACTTTCTGACCTGATACAGTCATTTCCCCACATCTTCATCTTCTAGGTAGGCCATTTATTATGTAGTCACAGAGAGAAGTTCTAGCATGAGTAACAGTACTATGTTTTTACACAGTTGTTAGTAATAGCATCCCTGATGTGTGTACAACATACCATTTTCCTCCCTTGCTTTGAGAATTCAGGGGAGTTAAATAATTTTCAATTGGTCTATATATATTTTGGAATATCTATTCATACACACACACTTAACTTGGCTTTTTTAACAAATGCTAACTTAAAAGTTACTTCAAATACCCCAAAACAATGCTATACATGTCTATTCTGAGGCAACTCTCAGGTAAGCTTGTGTAGCATTGTAACCTTAGAAAATAACAGGAGTCTGCATGTGTATGATTTTTTTCTTAAAACAAAACAAAACAAAAACACCCTAAGAATTCATTCGCAATATTGTTTTTATCACAGAATCTAGTTATAAGAAGGCAATGAAAGCATTCAAGTTGGTTTTGCCTAATGTGATGGCAACTTTTCTTCAACCAGGCTTTGAATCACTATGGTGATTCTCATAAAATAAAGGTTGGACATACAATGACTCATTTTGGCAGCAAGGAATCAGAAAAGCCTATCAAGGTAACACGGTTTCAAAATCTCAACTTTCAACTCACATTACTTTTAAAATGTGCAGAAACTTCATTGAGGTATACATGTTGACACTAGCCAGAAAGAGAATTCAACTAACAATCTATGGGGAAAGCCAGAATGTAAGATACCTAGGTTCAAAACCATTTAAGCCTTTAAAGATAAAATTCAGCAGTTTGAATTGGGCCTGGAAACAACTCAAAAGCCATTGGAGTTGGCTCAATATTAGTAGTAAAGGGTCTTTAAAAATTGGCTTCCATTATGTGTAGCTGCTAAATTTTGCATCAGCAAGCTAGACAAAAGCATTCCTGTTACATACCAAAAAAAAAAAAAATACTTATCTGTCAGCTCTCTCACCTTATTTTCTATAACATCTTAAAGACAGTCACGAGGTGGGATCACTCAAATACACAGCTAAGGAAATTGGTACTGAACAAGTAATAAAGTCTCCTAACTATAGAGCAGTGTGAACCTGAATCAAACTGTTTAATTTGGGATAAAACGTGCCGAACAAAAACACTACAATCATCTAGTTGAAGAAATGTTTAGCTGCACTGATTATGAATTACATTCCATTATTTGTGTCCACATTACACAATGACGGTTATCTCTAAGATAGTACTTGTATTATATCCACCAAAGTCAACATTCAGCTGAATGATATACAGATTGTGCCATGCTATGCTGAATTGGCGAGTTAACTTTCCATATGCTCTCAACCCAGAATGTCCCCTAGGTGAACCTCTGGGCCTTGGATTCATTGGTCAGCTGTCACAGCTTACCTCTGATAACATTTCATATTGACCTCTTCTTCCCAAGGCAATGGTAAGCAAGTCATAGACTACAGACGCACTTTGCAAACTGATGATGCGATCATTTTTATGTTCTGGTATTCTGCTCAGCACAGCATCGCGATTAGCCTGGATAGCAAGACCAAAAACGAGAAGAGAGGATCAGTGAAGCAAAAACATAAAACCCAAGTCCCATGCTCGGGGTTCTCCAAAATGGAATAGCAAATTCAAACTTTCGTTGCTGTGGATGAAGGAACTGCATTTCTCAAGGGATGCTGCATCACAACTACCATAAATACCTGAGATGCAAAATACCTGAGATGTTTAAAAACATGAAAAGACGCTGAACAACCTCTCTCCACAAGAAGAACAGTGCATATGGCATTGGTTTATTCACCTGGTGGATGCATTAAACAATAAAGATGAATTGCTCTAAATGTATTCCTCTGTAGGGTTTTATATACAAATTAGTAGATAATTTACTTTTATATCCGACTAGGGGAGAAAATCACCACATCCTTTACTTTTCAACAAGACTTCACACTCATAGTTGTCTGGCTTTTTTTAAAGATGCTGATGATGGCCAATGGTTCGAGTCAATAAAAATAAGTGAATCAAGGTAATCAGTCACCAGGGTATCATAGAATCATAGAATCATAGAGTTGGAAGAGACCACAAGGGCCATCGAGTCCAACCCCCTGCCAAGCAGGAAACACCATCAGAGCACTCCTGACATATGGGTAGGTTTTCAAAGTGGCCAATAAGGAGCACTCTGCATTTAGAAGCTTAACTACTCATATATTGCCTTGAAAACACATCTTCATAGATCAAGGGTATAATTCCCCTTGAACAAAACTGACATTTCCTTTCAGCCCTGGATCTTCTGGCAGCTCAAAAACATACACAGTTGCAGACACCCACGATGGCAATGCCAGCAGCAGTACGGATCCTACAGAGTGCCTGAAGTATGGTACACCATATGCTCATCTTCAAAATGGAGTAAATCATGGTGTGAAAAGGTTGACTAAGGTTAATAATGCAACAGGAGGAATGTAAATGAGGGTTCCTTCATAAAGAAAAATGGCTCACTTACCATAGATTCACTAATCAGCAGCAGCAAGAGCGCTTCTTCAGTGTTCTCTTGAGGACAGAAAATGCTGTTAAAAATTGAGTATTCATTACCGTAAAAATCAAGTTATTCGAGATTCATTTACATACAATAATTAACTACTGTGTCACATTTTGTGCTATTAATGATTTACCAAAACATTGTTTATGAAAACTTATTTTGGGTCTCATATCATCAGCAAATCAAATAATGAAAATACAGCTATTTTTAAAAGATGTTTTGAAATTTAACAAAACTGCAGTAATTAGGATCAGCAACTAACAGCTCAACCCAATTTGCTATTTTTGACAACTATAAATTGTCACATTGCATTTGTGCTCAAAGGCACTATCTTCCTATTTCTGGATTTATAGCAATACACACTCAATAGCCAACACTAAATTTTCTCTCTAGGCTTCTTATGTTTCGATCACAATACCTTGCATTTTTAGCTGCTCTCCAAACCCTTAATAGCATTCATTTGCTTAAACCACTTTTGCATTATTATATTCTTTCTTAGAAGATCTACAATGCCAGTCATTCTTCTGCTTAATTGGGAATATGAAAGGTTGGCAGGAGCAAGGGGAATGCTCCTGAGATAGACAGAACTTTGTGGAATGCCCACTGAAGAAACAATAAACTCAGATTAAATTACGTGATGATGTTTCTCCTCTGCCCCACACTACTGAGTTTTTAGAGGTACAAAGCCAATTCCTTTTATTGGGTGACTAAGCGATTAGGGGAAGGTCCATAACTCAGTGCTTTGCATCACTGGTCCTAGGCACTTGTCAGTCACTGATATCTCCAGTTTAAAAAGATCAAGAAACAGGTGATGGGAAAGACCTCTGTCTGAGGACCACTATATTTCTGGTCCACGTCAATTTTACATGTGTTTATTCCTGTCCATTCTACCTCATTTCTGCATTACTCTGAACATTAAAAAAAAAGCTGTATGAAAATTGGTATTGAACTACAGTCATACCTTGGAAGTCTAATGGAATCTGTTCCGGATGTCCATTCGACTTCCAAAATGTTTGAAAAACCAAAGTGTGGTTTCTGATTGGCTGCATGAAGCTCCTGCAGCCAATCAGAAGCCGGAGAAGTCCCATTGGATGTTAGGCTTCCAAAAATAGTTCGTAAACCGGAACAGTCGCTTCCGGATTTGCGGCGTTTGGGAGCCAAAACATTCGAGAACTAAGCTGTTTGAAAACCAAGGTACGACTGTATCTATTTTTATCTTTATACATCTTTTAGCACAACATAATATTTATATATACATCTTATCTCAATGTGCACATTTCTAAATGTATTTTTTTTATATAAAATATGTATAGACCACTATTTCATTAAAAATATCAAAGCGGTTTACAAAAAAAAGACGCAAAACTATATTTTGAAAAGTTAAAAGCAGACATCAATTAACTATTGTATTCTTATTTGCTTGCACAGGCCTGGTAGAATAGAAGTTTTCAACAGGAGTTTAGAAGTTAAAACAGAAGGCGGCTGCTGAATCTCTATTAGCTGAGTATGCTGCAGTCCTGGGATGATGACACTAAAGGCTCTATTTCCTGGTATTATTAAGTGACCAATGAGGCTGCTGCAGACGATTTATCCTAAAGTTCATAGCTTTTAATTCATTTTTGTAAGGCTATGAAGTGATAATTACCATATTTTTCGCCCTATAGGGCGCACCTTTTCAACTCCAAAAATGAAGGGGAAATGTGTGTGCGTCCTATGGGGCGAATGCAGGCTTTTGCTGAAGCCTGGAGAGCGAGAGGGGTCGGTGCGCAGGCTTCAGGAAGCTATCCGCAAGCCTTGGGAGCCTGCGGGAGTTCCCGCCGGGCTCCCAAGGCTTGCGGACAGCAGCCTGTTCTGGGGGCTGGGGTCGGGGGAAGCTCAGGCTTCCCCCGCCCCAGCCCCGCACCTGCGGGGGAAACTGGGTGCGCCCTATGGGCCGGTGCGCCCTATAGGGCGAAAAATACGGTATATCACAAGATTTAGAGAAGTGCAAAACCGGAAAGGTAATTGTATCCCACCTGCGTATCAGTGCAGGAGGTACAAACAATTCAAAGTGTTGGTGCTGACCTTTAAAGCCCTAAATGGCCTCAGCCCAGTATACCTGAAGGAGCATCTCCACCCCCGTCATTCAGCCCAGACACTGAGGTCCAGCTCTGATGATCTTCTGGCGGTTCCCTCACTGCAAGGTTACAGGGAACCAGGCAGAGTGCCTTCTTGTAGTGGCTCCTGCCCTGTGGAATGCCTTCCCATCAGATGTCAAGGAAATAAACAACTATCTGACTTTTAGAAGACATCTGAAGGCAACCCTGTTTAGGGAAGTTTTTTTTAATGTTTGATGTTTTATCGTGTTTTTAATATTCTATTGGGAGTCGCCCAGAAGGGTGGGGGTAATAACAATAATAACAATAATAACAATAATAACAATAATAACAATAATAACAATAATAACAATAATAACAATAATAACAATAATAATAATTATTATTATTATTATTATTATTATTATTATTATTATTATTATTATTATTATTATTATATTAGATCAATTCACTTGAAAGTGCAGCCCAAAATGGTTTTCCACCATTCCTACTTCTGCCCAAGATCCTGGAGAGATGCTACCTGCCAGAGTAGGCAGTATAAGGCTTCAATGAAAATAGTCCTATCCAGTGTAAGACCTACTTTCTGTACTTCTGTTCTTCTTGCTTTTTCTTCCCTTCCCATAATATTAGCAAAGATCAAGGGATGCAGCTATTTAGGAATCCTCAGAGGTATTAAATATAGAAAACAAACTTCTTTATGTAATAAGGAAAGGAAGACCAGAAGAACATTTCTTCTTCTTCTGGGAATTTACTTTTGTTACGCCTTTAAGGAAATGCTTCACTAATATTCTACTCTATGCATAATTCAGTATATCAAAAAAGTCGGATAAAACAAATTTCACTCCACTTACCAGGTCCAAAGTGCCAAATGATAGCAAATGCAAGTGAGTGCATTTAAACATGCTCGGGGAAATCGTTCAGACCAAAGCTAAGGGAAATGCTTAGAACCAATTTTCCCCTGCAATTTTCTGCATTTGAAAAAATCTCTACCCAGCTCAAAACAACATAAATACAGGTCCAGTCTCTGTACTGTAAGAATCGTTTCTGGAATGGCTTTGCTAATTATTCCTGTGAAATATTTTAAAACACACATTTCGATGTTTTCATTATCGCTAATAAGAGACTGGAAGCATTGTCATTTTAATTGCTCTCCTGCTGTTCTGAAACAACGCCTAGAAAAATACAGCTACACATCGGCCTTTCTTTTCTTTTTTGAACTTGGACACCTTTTCATAAGCACTTTGGGTGTAACTCAACACTGTGCTCTTCCAGTCGTTCACTCTGCAAAAGCCTTTCAGCTTGCCAGACAGAACAACCCCCCTCTCCTTCCTGCTGTATGTTGTTCTGTGGTTCTGGGGAGCCAGTGTGGTGTAGTGGTTAAGAGCAGCAGACTTGTAATCTGGTGAACCGGGTTCGCGCCCCCGCTCCTCCACATGCAGCTGCTGGGTGACCTTGGGCCAGTCACGCTTCTTTGAAGTCTCTCAGCCCCACTCACCTCACAGAGTGTTTGTTGTGGGGGAGAATGTTAGCTGCTTTGAGACTCCTTTGGGTAGTGATAAAGCGGGATATCAAATCCAAACTCTATTCTTCTCCTTCTCCCAACCTACCAGAGCCAATCTGGGAGATGGGCGGGGGTGGGAGGAGAGATGGGGCAGTCCCATTGCACAAGTGGGAGTCCTTGCACAAGGCTTCCTCTGATGGGGCTAGTTAGGTGAATCCCACCCTGGGAACTTAAATGCTTTATCATTTTAGAAAGCCTCCTACATGTTACTGGAGCAGGTCACAGCACATGAAAATTATCAACAACATTGCACTACAGCAATAACAATTAGAAATTTAAATATTGGATTGTTTCATTACTTCATGGAACAAAGGCAGGTAAAAATTCTGAAGCTCCAAAAATAGTTCTAAGGTAGGAAAAACTTCTGCATGATGTTCCAAAAAATGGTGGGACCTGCCAAGAAAACACTTCTGAAGATGTTCGTGCTATTCTAACTTGACAAGCAGGTGACTGGGAGGCAGGAGAGATTCAAGCTACCACCTTTTGGCGATTTTAAAGAGAGAGAAAGAGCAGCTAAGACCATGCCACTGGCTGGAGGACTCCAACTTTTTAAGCTAATACACGGCAGCCCACTTAAAGCATCTCTCAACAAAACAGGCATAACATCCAAATAGCTTTAACACAAACCCGAAAGTATGAATTTTGTTCTCCACCATTCTTTCACTCCTATGCGCGCTGGCACAGTTTAAGAGTTGCGTTCCTACTTTTATCAGCCCAATTTATATACTGTTGCAATTCATAGTAACGGATTAAAAGATAATCATTATCATAAACAAAAAGCTTACTTTTCTCCAGAGTACACCCGTGGTCTTCTGCTAAGCGCATAACTCTTAGTATTTGCTCCTTTCCATAGGGGATCATTCAGGGGTGACTCGTGAGGAGGGTCGTCCAGTGGATTCCAGTAACTTTGTTCACACATGCCTCGTAGCAAGATTTCGGCTAGCTGCCTTGCTATTGTCTGTCAACAAAGAAAAGTATTTTCCCGGAAGTTAAGGGTGTACAAAAAAAGGGTGTACAAAAAAACAGACTGCAGCAGTAGGGACGTAAGTAAAACTGTGTACAATTATGCTTATGAGCATGAAGCAAAACAAGCAATTGCAACACGCAACTTTGATACCACAACGGAATGTGCCATCAACATATTGCATTTTGTTCAACGTGTTCTATACCTTCTTACAATAGTACTCAAAGCAATTAACATGTCACTGTAATACATATTAGAATGAAACTGGCTAACAAAAACAAAGTTCCCAAAGGTATCAACCAAGGTTTAAAAGAGCAGCTGATGAAAGGTAGCTCATTCTCTGAGTGTAGACCCTTACACAGCTAAGAGGTCACTCTACATGTGGGTAGAGATGGTGCCAGGTTTGAGGAAGGCCCCAGAGACCATGCATGCCATCCTTTTCACACCTTACCTTTTTAAACTTTCCCGCGTTTGAGTCAGTAGTGGTGGCCCAGAACTTCTCCCTCTGTGCCTGGCTAGCTAGCTGGGTGAGCAAAGCTCACAAGTGAAGCAAGACTGATGGATGTCACATTGTGAAGCACTGTGCTGACCAGATCCTCGAGGATCCATACGTTTCCTAACTCCCACAGGGGGAGAGTGGCAGCAAGTTCAGCCAATGAGATGTCAGCTTTGGAGTTGTGGGGCTCCCGAGGCCATCTGAGTAGCAAGGGGACAGGCCAAGCCTCATCATCCCACCCACTTCCTGCTCTCATTTGCCTCACAACCCCAAAGGTGGAATCTCATTGGCTGAGCTCACACCACTCCTGTCATGGGCTCATAAATTTTAAACATCAAAATGGGAGATATCTAGCACCTCTGGGGCATGTCCAGGGCTGTTCAGGAGCTCCTGGGGTGTGTGGGGCCCCAGAGTTATGCCCAGAAGTCCATCCATAGTAGTCCCACTATCAACAGACGTAGGACAACCTCAAGATTACAAGAAATACAAACAAAAACAAAAAACTTAGCAGGAACACTCCCCTCCCGGCAAAAAGCAGGCCACTGAGAATTCACAGAGGCTTTGAATGGTTATGCTCCACTTCTAGTTTTGGAGGCAGTTGGCTGGATTCAGCTACCCTGTTCCGATAGAGGAAGCCACTAAAAGGACTTCCACCAGCACAACAGGGCTTTCTTCCTCCCCACCTCTCCCCAAATCCTCTTTGGAGAATCAAGAGATCCCCCAGAACGGCACACACAGAAGGAGGAGAGGGGAGATTGTTCCATCAGGCAAGCAGAAATGCTTGCACTGACGGAACGATCTCCTTAGTCAGGGGTTGGCAAACTAAGGTCTGTGGGCCAGAACTGGCCCAATTGCCCTCTGGATCCGGCCCACGAACGGTTCTGCAATTGCCGCTTGGATTGGCGTGATCGCCATTTCCCCCCTCTTTTGGGGGGCACCATTTTTTGCAGTCCCCCCCCCTGCAGCGGCATCTCCTCCCTCCTCCCTCCCTCTTCCTGGCTTCTCCCTGCCCTGCGGAGGAAGGGGGCTGGGCTTTGATAGGAAGCCTCGCCGCCCGCCTGCCGGCCTCTCCCCATGGCTGTGTTGTGGGCTGGAGCTTGGCGCGCCTGCTAGCACCACGCTTGGCGCCTGGGAAAGTTGGCCCGAAAAGGAGAGGCGCCGCCGCCACCGCTGGCTCCCAACCGCAGGCAGAGTGGCAGAGGAGGTAGGCCGGAGGAGAGAAGGGGAGAGAGAGAAGCCCCCTCCGCCGTGTGTGTGCTCCCGTGCGCACAGTCCGGCCCCATCACTAGGTCTGGGGGTCGGTGAACCAGCCCCCTCCCAAAAAAAGTTTGCTGACCCCTGTCCTTGGTGCTATGAAGAATTCCACCCAGAATGGGAATTGCGGGGGGGGGCGGGGAGTGTAACTGCATCCAGGTCCAGTTGTGCACCTCCCATAGGTACCTGGTTGGCCAATGTAAGAACAGGATGCTGAACTACATGGGTCGTTGGCCTAACCTAGAAGGGTTTTTCATGTTTCTATGTAACGTTCAATGCGCATGAAAGGGTGGCTGTTGGGAGAAACAGCCCAGAAAGTCAGGGGATGAGAGTGAAGGAACGGCGTGGCTAGAAACATGAACAGAAGCACTTCACACTGTATGGTTATTTAATTTAACAAAATTTATGTACCGCCTGATTGTAAATGGAGCCTCTTAACAGTTTATAAATGCAGGTCCCACTTGTCAAAATTCTAATAAATAGTAAATGCTGGTCAAGGTTCTTCTCTGAATTGTTAACTTTTATTATAAGCTTGCATAGGCAAGCATGTTAACCACCAATTGTAACATAATAATATTTTTATCTGCTGGTTACAGCAAGGGTCATTGCACTGCAATACATCAAATATTACTACAGTGCATTCTTATGAAAAGTCCCACTTTTCAGAAAATGCCCCACTTTTCAATGTGTTCAATAGGGGCTTACTCCCAAGCAGGAATGTATAAAACTGCAGACTATAATAATCACTAATTATCAATTTTTAACAATCTGTAGTTAATTGTAGTTATGAAAACTTACCATGCGTAAATTTTGTGTAGTTCTTGTTTCAACAGCTCGTAGGATCTCTCTAAATCTACCGACTCCTCTTGTCAAATTCCTGTATGTATACACAGAATTCCACAGAAATAGTATTTCCAGCTAATATGTTAACATTTAATACTTTATAAGGAAGCATCAGTCCCATCCCACCCACCCCTCCAATGCCAGCCCAGTTACTAAAGTTGATTTATCCACTTTTGTAAAGATCAAGTAACTTTTTACTCTGGATCACAAAAAACACTATTTCCTCAAATCCAAAACATAACATGTATGTTTCAGAGAAGGCAAAAAACACTAACACAAGAAAGGCCAAATGGTTTGTTGACATTTCAGCTTTGACAGTCTGCATCCCAGATATGCCCATTAATTTGTCACTGGACAGCAGAGCAATGTTTGTTATCTTCCTCCTGTTGCAGCTATTCTTCTAGAGTAATCCAGAATATAAATCTGGGCTGAACAAAAATCCCTCCCATCCCTCAGAAATGTAAAGGAACCTTAATGCTGAGACGGAAAAGTAAAGAACTGGATGGCATATCTTTAATATACACTTGTTCTGAAAACAACTTTACAACCAACTTTAATTTTCAACAGTACAGGGTTTACAGGAGAGGTAGCAAGTTGAGCAGAAGGGTACCACAACATTTAATTCACTATTCTTTCTTAAAATGAGAATGAACCTCTCGTCATTTTTTCTCTCATAAAAAATGCATTCCCATTACTGCTAAATAAACGGAAATAAATGAGGGACAGAATGAGCGCAAGAAGTGCATGTCTCAACCATATAAAAATAGCCTTTTCTCCAAGGTCAAATAAACCTGAGGAACAGTAACATGAAATTAAACAGCAGGATTGACAGCAGACTTGGACACTGGACTTTGCAGTAAAGCTGCAGTACACAACTTCAAGTTCGGCTTGTCAGAATGTGAAGACTTCTGCAGTGCTCCGAACGATTCACAACAATCCATAAATGGAAGCTGTATATGACAGAATATCCTGTACCCACCCCTGCTAATTTACAAACCGTTTCCCCTTTCAAACAAAGCATTTCCCCCTTCTAACACACACAATCCCATATCAGTTTTAAAAAGGAAGTTTAGTTCCTCCTTTATTGCAATGAATCATCATCCTAAATATTATATATTCATTATTATGGGCTTCGTAGCAGACTCAACTTATCACCAGCACTTGAATCCAGAAGATGTCATCATATATCACCAAAATTATCCATGAAGTTCGTATGGATGATTGTTTTATGCCTATTTTATGCCCTCCAGCTGACTGATTTCTACAATATTCCGATATTAGGAAAATACTAATAGTTGCCTTTCCCTGCTTACGGAAAGTTCTTAATACTTGCAACCATGTTCATATTCATTTACTTGGAAGTTAGACCCTACTTTGTTCCATACAACTTGCTTCCAAATAAATGTGCATGGAATTGCAGCCTTCAATTAACCAATCATTCTCAGTATCCTTGCATGCGTACAGAGCGCAAAAACTGGCTCCATGTTTTTGTGGGTCTTGAGGACCACATCACCATTTGCCCCACCCAGAGTTAGAAACTGAGATATGAAAGCTAGGAGCTAAATGGCACCTTAAAACTAGGGTATGGGCACGACAACAGAATGTCTAGGCGCGCTTTTTTTACAACAAGAATACAAAGCTGAAAATGAATGAACTGCAGCTAAAATCTTACGTTCATTTTTCACATGGTCTAGTCCTCATCGGAAGACTGCAAAAAACAAAGCCATGTTTCCCCTGCCTGCCCCACTAATACAGTGCTACCTCGGGTTAAGTACTTAATTCATTCCGGAGGTCCGTACTTAACCTGAAACTGTTTTTAACCTGAAGCACCACTTTAGCTAATGGGGCCTCCTGCTGCTGCCACGCTGCTGGAGCACAATTTCTGTTCTCATCCCGAAGCAAAGTTCTTAACCTGAGGTACTATTTCTGGGTTAGCAGAGTCTGTAACCTGAAGCGTCTGAAACCTGAAGTGTATGTAACCCGAGGTACCACTGTATTCTTAAGAGACCCTCTTCTCCGGTCTTCAGAGAGTGGCTGGAAGTGGGGAGGCAGAAAAAGGTCCTCCTTTCCATCCACTCTGCAGTTTTAATCTGAAATCTTAGGCGCAGTACTGTGTGCCCAGAGCTCAGAAACTGCTCGCACTAATGAAATTCCCTGTCGCAAAACGCACCTAGAACAATGGGAGTTTCAAACGCTAGATGAACACCCTCCATTCTTCTCCTCATTGGATAATAGAAGATCATCCTAGAAGCTCCTATATCAACATCACATTGTGCTCTTTATAGCCCCACAGCAAGTTAAGCTCTGCTACCCCCAGGTACCTCTTTGTAAAAATGACCTAAAATGACCTCTAGTAAAGCAGAGACTTCTGGGATGTTTTCCCGCTTCTCAGCAGGATGTTCCAGAAGAGAACACAATTAATTCTCTTACACTCCCTTTATCACTAGGCTTAAAAGGAGGGAAATTTCCCCTTGGAAAACTGCCCTAAGAGTTTTGGGGGCAAGTGGAAGGGATGCCTTATATATCAACATAAATAATAGATGTAACTTAACACTGCAATTTCTCTGAATTACACGAGAAAAGAAAAGCAGGAGAAAAAGAAAATGCTATTGACACAAATAGAAGATCTGAGAGAAGAAATTGTATTTCCTGGAGTTATCAAGAAACAAACTAATTATGCAAATTCCCTATGCTAATTCTAATGTTTGTGCAAAACATGAAAATTCAGACACTCTTGGCATTATAAAGATGGCTGTCTTGATTACGCAAACCAGGCAGATATCAAAATGGTGCAGTTTTGTAATTCAGGAGAGGAAATGCAGACTTTTGCATCAGTTAACAGTCCAGCTCACCAACTCCATTTGGCTGAGACAATTACACTCCAGCATAATAAATACTGATTTACATTGTGCCAGGGCAGCTGTGACCCAGGCAGTGCACTGATGCAAGATTAAAATGCATCACAAGTTAGTTAATCAGCACTTTTGCCAGGATAAAAACAATAATTTTGCAGTGCAGTGCACTTTGGCGTGGCGTCAGGGCTTACAATATTTTCTTCTGCAGTGTCTCTGAATTGCTTCATTAAACTTCCTAGTGCAGAGTAGCATAATATCTGCAGATCATCAGACCAAAATACTTCTAGACTTAACAATAGAAATAAAACAGTGAAATTAACCTGCTAAGCATCTTCTCACCTACACTGTCTCTTCCTGTCTGTTCTAACTTCCTGTCTGAGATTTTGGGCACTGTTTATGGAAAGGGAACAGAAAACCAAGGGGTTCAAAAGAACCGAAAACCAAAGCAGAAGTACGGAGATAGTAGTCACCAAATCCAGTTTTACAAAACATTAGTCATTTCAGCCCAGGCAATAGCTAAACGAGCAGTGTATGAGCAATATGGAAAATTCAATACTGCCATCTAAACAAAAGTGGTCTCTAATGTAAGCTGTCCCCCATTCTGAAGGTTAGCTTCTTATCTTAGATCCCAACTAATAATAATAATAGATGGCTGTGTGTGTGTGTGTGTGTGCGCGCGCGCAATCATTGCAAAATATGGGCTTATATATCTTCTTGAATGTTAAACAAAATAAAAATTAAAAAGCACCCAAACCAAAAGTGCAGCTTCTAGTTTCCTACTGCTCTTATAAAGGATCGATCCTAGCTCAGTAGCAGAGCTGTGCATGCATGTTTCAGATTCAATCCCAGGTATCTCCAGGTAAAAAAGATAACGTATTAGGTAGGCAAGCCATGACGCTAAGGGGCTGGTCAAAGGCAGCTTTCTATGTTCCTAATGGCTTGCCAAAAATCTTTCTTATTTCAGCTGGGACTCCCTACATGATCCATGCAAACACATATTGTTGCTGCTGGAATAGATCCTTGGATGAAGGGCGGTATAATAATAATAATAATAATAATAATAATAATAATAATAATAATAATAATAATAGATGGTTCCAATATTACCTCAGTGAGATGGGACTCAATATCAACTTCCTGTGCTACTCTGCTACATCACAGGTTCCTGGTCACATGGAAGGTATAGCTTCTTTCAGAACCATAACTGGCCCATCTTCTCGGAGGAGCAACATTGGCAAAGACCTGGGGTTTCTGATGTTGCCAGAGTGGTGCGGGAAGGAGACACCTTGTAGTACTATCCATGCTGCTGAGATAAAAGGCCCTATTTGGAAAGGGGCGGCATGGTACCAACTCTGCAGCTGCTTCTACCCTGACAACCAACAACTCCTGGCCACTCTCTCTCAAGCTGCTTTGGGATTGGATTGCCAGTTTGGGGCGCATCTAGGCTCCATATCACTATGGGAGCATAGAGGGAACAAAAGGGTTTTGGTGATGAAGAACTAATGCAACTGCTTTACTATGTAAGATGTACTATCAATTTTTGAAAAGGTTTAAATATGAATCAGCGTGCCACAAAAGGGATTGTTCTGTGAGAGTACTTTATTCAAATGGACAGCCATAGTGGCTATTGAAATAGAGCTTATTGTTAAAAAATAATAATTCTGAAAACTAGTATACGGGAACAAACAGTCTCTAATTTAGAAGGGACTTCTGGAATCAAACATTTGGCTTCAGGACATCAATGTACTCTAAACTGCATCCCTATCCTGCGCTATCATCCCACACAGCCGGTATTTTTAGATATTTTGGATTTGATGATTTTAGGAAGAGTAGACTTCATTTTAAATGTACCCTGGCAACGGAAATGGAGGGTAGCTATAATTGTATTCTAAATAGTCACATCACACTGGCCTGGTTCGCCTGTCACATTAAACCACTGTTCGAAACAATGTTTTAATGTGAATAAGAAATATGCATTCTACTCAAAAGTTCCTGTGACACTCACTCCCGATTCCTGTTGCTGCCATGCCATGAGTGAAGCAAGCCAGAGTCTGGTTTGTTGTACTGTCTAAACCCAGGTTCACAATTTGTTTCTCCCAAACAACACACAAGCAGTTAGCAAAGAGCAAACCTTGGTTGCGACTCTTCGTTTATTTGGGAAAACAAACCAGAAGCCCGT